ATTAGGACCGCCAGCATACAATCTTGGAGTCTATTGATTTTTCTATTTGCTGCAGCTTTTCAACACGTCAGGCATTCGACATAGATATTTCTTATTTTGCAGCGGGTACGCCCGCTAGTAAAAATATAAATATATATGTTGCTAAAGCTGATGACTTTCATTGATTTTCACTACAAGATCGTAGACGGTGTACGATTTTGACAGTGAAAGTACTGATTGATTGGTGATTAAAGCAAAACAATTTAAAAAGAAACCGTGGTTTTCTGGCAGTATTATCGTAGTTGTGACAATACGGGAATTCCATCATCTGATGAGTGAACTATGAATAAAGCAGCATCGTTTGTCATTGACTAGTCTTCTTGATTAACATTTCTCACGACGTCCTAGAAGTCACAGTCGATCATAAATCGATTAAACTCCTTACATTTGAGAAATTTACATGCCACTATTTTAACTGATTGAAGAAAATCGAAAAACTGTTGTGCTTTCCGGTTTTTTCATTAAGAAACATTGAAACCAGTTTTATTTATATGACCTTTTTTCGTTTGAAAACTAGCATCTCACAATATATCTTGCAGAGAGAGAAGAGAAAATGGTTTTCCGGTAATAATAACTCTTTTTGTGAACTTCTTCTTCAGATAGATCTAATATATTTTTGAAGAAATTTTGTACCTCACGTGTGTACCCTATTTGGACGAAAGCTGTACCTCTCGTGCACCCCAATTTCTTCTTTCTGATACCCCATTTGAGACCTGAACAGTTGATAACCCTGGTCTATGATGAAACATCGAATAGCCTCTTTCTAACTAGAAAACAAATTCATTATTAGTCAGAACCTTACGAAGGATGACTTTTTTTAATCACGGAAGAAAACTTAAAGAATCAATTTCCAATAGATGTCCTTGGGTTACAATAATCATGCAATAGCAAGTTTGTAGTAGATGTTAGATCTCTTCTTGAAAACAATGATTGTTTAACAATACAAACACGGCTCATATACGATGCAGTTTTTCTCATTCTACATTCATACGAGACAATACATGCTGCAAAATCAAGTCATCCACACCGAGCGCTTCGAAACTGAGAAAGCTCAGAATGTAATTCGGTACATACGGAGCGATGAATAAAAAGACCGCTACAATTGTCCACGATTTATCGCGACGCTGTTCTTATATACACAGTAGTGGTAATAAAACTAGGAAAGCAAAGTGATTTGACAAGTATAGATGAAGAAAAATATCAAATGGAATGCCTCAACATTGAACATGGAGATATATTTTCGCAAAATCGAACAAAACAGATATTTATACTGTGTATGAAGTACTCTTTCGATTTGCGCGATAATTTCGTTATCACATGAACTAAGACTTTTGACGTTGAACGTTCAATCTTCAAACCATTTGTCATTCATACAGAAGCATCGACATATTTAATACCAATCTACACTCCGTTTACGTATCATATCGACAAAGAAAACTGGACATCCAGTTTGCTTCTTGTATCACCGATAGTAACATGTTTATAAAAGATAAAAATACTACGTATTTCTCGATTACTCTGATTCTTTGCATTTCAACTCGGTATAAGGCCAATTGCATCCACCAATAGTGCACATGGAGTCGTCTGTGAACTCAACAGCATGCAACATAAGAGACCACATTGGATTTGATCAACTCTTCGCGCAATGAGCTCTCGCATCAGTCATGTGCAGAAACGTTCATTTCCATGTCTCCACAAGCTTCCTCAAATAAGTTACCCTAGTATAAGCTCTCCAACAGAACGTGCCCAGCAGAAGCACGAACATCCCAGAAAATCTATAAAGAATCATTCGTAAACGCATTTATTCTTATTTTCACCAGTTTCAAATTTTCTCGTACAATCATATATCACTACAAATGTAACAAATACAGAAAATATTGCACTTTTCCGCGCTGATATACAATATTCCACAACAATCATTGCCATTGCCATTGACACCTTTACACTATCAACTACTAATCAATGCCGATATTGTGACACTAGTATTTCTCGGCACACGCCATTAAAAAAAATAGATCATCTTTCCTATTGCGGTAGCACCAACTCAAGAAAACCCCTATTCATATTTCATCACAACTATTGTTCAAAGATCACGTTATTAGATCCTATACCATCCAGCATACCGGTACTATTTATCTACAATGAGTACCAAGTCGCAATGTCACAACTAACTGACGTATACCTTTTCAATCATTCTTCCAATTACCATCCACCCGCCAACGTAAAATAGGCATGAAAACCAGATTTCACACGAGAAAACTAATGAAAAATCAACTTGAATGACACGATTTGATCAACTTTTTAATCGATTAAATCGTGTTATGATGATAATAAAAAATTATTTACTTGAAGAACATTGTTTAATATTCAACAGTACCTGTCTTTCATCAAAAATAATCAGTTCAAGTATATATTACAACCGAATTCAGCCCATTTCAGTTGAATACTTTTACCTTAACCGATTTCCAAGCTGTTTATATAAACTATTTTAATCTGATATATCATAACATTTTTGCCGGTCAATCTGATTTTTCCAGCACTTTTCACGTAGATGATCCTAAAGACATTTAAATCGCATTTCCATCCGTCGACGACATACTCGCCGTTTTGTTTTCCAGAAGCCCATGGTATAAATACGAGTGCTTTTCATCCTATTTCCTACACGTTTCTCGAGGTCATCCGAAATCCTGGAAGTGATGGAGAGGAGATTTAAATCACATTTCCATTCGTCAACGACGAGTATAGCCAGAGTACTTTTAGGATTTTTCCTAATAATTAGTGTAATCTGAAAAAAAAATCATCATAGGATGCTTTTTACTGGATTTCGAGTAGTAGTTAAATAAATTTAGAGATTAGGATGTATTTGATTTTGGAAAGTGGATAGTTTCCGTTCACTTATGGTGACAATTCCAGCCGTTTCCTGTAGGATCGTATCATACATCCTTTAACTTCCTGGCGGATCTGGTGTATTTTCCCTGTGGCGGAAATTGCGGGATGTCAAAGTTTCCATTTCCGTGGAATACCTGCAGAAACACTGCTTCCATCTTCCGTGTGTTTTTCCTGCGGGATACGTGCAAGCCCGCATGCAACCTACAGGAAGATGCGGGAAAAGACCTAGGATCATTCGGGCTCCAGGCGGATCCGGATTCCGGAAACATTACCTTGGGAATATATTTCTTGGTATACTGATATTGCAAGGAACAATTCGTAAATCAGATCTTAAAGTGTATTTTACAACTGATAAACTATTATCAATTGCTATATTTAACCGAACAATGACTGCTGATTGATTTTTATTATTAATTAGAATGCTGCATTTTGAAACGAATGAAGGTCCAGATACCAAATTGAAAAAGATCAGGCCATATATAGAATGTCTTCGTTCATCGTTTAAAAAATTATATCAACCTGGAAGATTATTATGTGTCGATGAAAGTCTACATTTGTACAAGAGTCTTTATCGTGGAAACAATTTATTCCCACCAAAAGAGCAAGATTTGGATTCAAGTTTTATATGTTATGTGATACAAATGGTTATATTCTTGATTTTATAATTTACACTGGTGCTGATACTAATTATAAGGAAACGTTTTCTGATTTATTCTTATCAAGTCGAGTCGTCTTCACATTAGTTGAAGATTACCTAGATTTAGGATATTGTATTATTATGGACAGCTATTATTCCTCACCAAAACTCTTTCTTCAAATGATCAAACGAAAGACAGATGCGGTTGGAACAATCCGTTCCAATCGTATAGGTCTTCCAATTGCTTTCAAACGTATCGAGCTTCATAAGAATGAGCAAATTTTTCGGTATTATAAAAAACTAATGCCAGTGAAATGGTTAGATGAGAAATATGTTACAATGTTGTCTACTTACCACAATGATGATGTCACGATTATTCATAAAAGAAATAAACAAATTGAAGTACCTGTACGCGTTCACGACTACAATGTCACTATGGATGGGATTGATCTGGCCGACCAACAATTAGCACCTCACTGTGTTCATTGAAAACGCTTGAAAAGATATTACAAAAAGATATTTATGATTCTATTAGATTTAGCTATTCTGAACTCTTATCACTTATATAAAATACAGACTCATCAAACAATTCATAACATAATGACACAACTTCGATTTCGTATAGCACTTGTTCGTTCTTTATTGGGAAACAATTTGCATCGTCTTCCAAGTCAAGCAATTAGAATAGGTCGACCAGCACTTGAACCCACACCTGTACGTTTAGCTGAACGTCATTTTTCATCAACATTTCCCTCTAGCTCGACCACACAACGTTGACGAAGACGATGTTTTGTTTGAAGTCATACAAGACCTCAAAGTAATCCAAGACGACGTCAAACAACATATGAATGATCAATTTGGAATGTGGGTCTTTGCATTGATCCATGTTTTCGAATTTATCATATCGTACTCAATTTTTAAACGAAACCTTTGCCTTGGAAAAGAATAATAACCAGAATTGTTTTTCTATCTCTTATTTAAAAGTAACATCTATCTTATATGCACAAATAAAGATATATCTATTATATATATATAGATGAAAGGTTCATTAGTTAACTAACTATAGATTGGTAAAATTTATGAAAAAACGACTTTTAGTTAGCGAAAAAAACATAACAGCTAAGGGGTTAATGTAATCAAAATTTCTACTGTAACGAAAATTGCTGTGCCAGTTCCTAATAGAATACAGCGATAACTTTATCAAGGTATGTAGCATTCAGTTTCAACTAACAATGAATAACCATAGCTTCCTCCTGCACCCAACACTTTTCCATCACTTAATACTGATGCAGTGTGATACTGCCGTGCAACATTCATGTTGTTAGTAGTTGTTGTCCATGTTTGGGCCACTGGATCAAACAGTTCGGCACTGTTTAGTGCATTGCCATTACTGTCGACGCCACCAGTTACCAATACTTCTCCATCACTCAGTACCGATGCAGTGTGATACTGCCGTGCAACATTCATGTTGTTAGTAGTTGTTGTCCATGTTTGTGCGACTGGATCAAAGAGTTCGGCACTATTTACTGCAGTGCCACTACTGTCGGCGCCACCAGTTACCAATACTTTTCCATCACTTAATACCGATGCAGTGTGATACTGCCGTGCAAAATTCATGTTGTTAGTAGTTGTTGTCCATGTTTGTGCGACTGGATCAAACAGTTCGGCACTATTTACTGCGGTGAAAGTACTGCCTTGGCCACCAGTTACCAACACTTTTCCATCTGGTAATGAGGTTGCTGTGTGACTTTGTCGGGCTGTGTGCATTATGAATGGAAGTTTTTTCCACCCTGCAGCTGAAACGAAATCAATTTAGAATTATCTGGAAGGTAGCAAAAAGAGGTAGGAGGTCTATTATATTAGTTGGATATAATGCAAACGAGCAGTGTGGAGGGTAGTATATGATCGACAATATGTAGTGTGAAAAAGAAATCTGAGTGATGTCTTATGAAGGTGTAGGTGTGGAGACATGTTTATATTGAAAATTTATATATTATATGGGTCGTTTCTAGTTTGTATATGCGATGTGTAACTGTCCGTTCAGATAGATGCTATATGTTGTAGTCGGGACGCGCACCGTCATCCACTACAAGACACATGCTAATCGCTATGAATGAGAGATCCGTCCTACGATGGAAAGGAACGCGTCGAAAAAGGCAGAATATATGACAGCGCTGACGTATACTATACGTTCTGTGAGCAGACTGTATCATAGAACGCAGCGCTCTTAATGTTTTATAAAGATGATGTATCGTGTATCGAAATCGGTAGTTCTGCTAGATAAAACATATCGACAGAGTAAGCAAGGAAAAATCCGTTCTATGTAATACCGATGTATGAGGTGAAAGAAATATTCTCGTTTCTTTTCACTTAAATGCTCAGAGCAGACACTTTACTTCTGTGTATTAAGTTATGTGAGGCTCATCTTAGAGCAATGAAATGGCCATCAGCGGAAGAGGGCGAAAAGAGAGAAGAATGGAGAAAAAAGTGACCTTCGTGGGACGCGAAACTATACCTTCTGCTGTCCAGACAGATGTCCTAAGCCGGTTATACTAGAAGAACCATCTTAATCTCTTATCTAGCGTTGTGTGATTCATCAAAAACGCTAACAAGTTAGAAGTTCCTATACAGTTTATGGAAAAACATTTTGTACTAACATTGTTACTACGTTATATTCTTAGTTTAGCAATATAGTAGGTTGAAATGTGAGACAGACAATCTTTGCAGACTATTAAGGACGAGAGATTATATTGTGTATTCTAACAAGAAGATATTCAATATTTGCTTAGCGATGATTTTTTGAACGTCATGGTATGAACTTTTGTTATAGCCTTAGTATGGAAAGTACAAGAGAGCATGAAGCACTACATACCATCACATTTCTTGGACACTCTGTCGCAGCTTTTAGTGGTACAGTCAGCGTCTGTGAGACATGAGTGAGTAGGTAAGCACTTGGTTGCGCAAATACCACCACAATCTATATCGGTCTCATTTTGATTTTTAATGCCATCTGTGCAGGTTGGTACTAAAACAAAAAGGATAATGAATATCACGATTCGCGACAAATATGAATCGCTTCCCGCTATCAAGTATCTAACAACATAGTCACACTATAATTTTTTTTTTGACATACAGTTTATTGTTCCCCGTAGGGTTAACAGACTCTTTGTCTTTAGAGATCATACAAATATAGAAAAAGAAACGAGAATAAGAACATATTTACACATCTTTCATTAAAATTAAATTAAATCTGTGAATCTTCTCGATGGACGTTTTGAAGAGAATATACGAAAAGAGAAGAAAGAGAACAAGCGAGATATAAGGTTAGAGGAAAGGAAGAGAAGTCAAGAGAGAAGTGAATCAAGTGGAATAGAAATTTTTATCGATTTCGAAACTGTGTACTTATTTTAGTTTCACTTTAATGCCATACATAAATTTCGGTTTATGGAGGATAAATATACTTAAAAACGAATCTTTCAATCAGGCAAGACGTTTTTTTAAATATATGATACTGTTTATCATGAATATCAAAGAAAGTAAAAAGGTCGATTTTTAAATGATGTGCTCTTAGTGCTAAACGATTGGGAAAAATACTATTTTTTCTGAAATTCATCGATTTGTAATAGTTACGATCGGGTGCAGTAGCTACTAAGTATGCTTCCCATGTGAGTTGATATTCTATTGCTTCATGAGCTGTATCGAGATGTTTATTCAATCTTATCCAATATTTAAAAAGATAATCTAGCATAGCTTTTTCTCTTGTCATTACGTATGTATTGTAATCATCCCAACCCCATAAGTTATACACAATACGGAGACCGGATACGTATAAATGTTCAATTTCTCTCTGTTGATTATCAGTATAATAAAACCAAGTGACGAACAACCATAGAAAGTGAGGGAGTACGAAAGCATAGAAAATTTTCTTTCGAACGTTTATAAGTTTCAAAGGTATTTGTTTATAGATTATTTTTAATGCATTAAAGATATTTGTAATTTTTAAAATTCGCGACTTGAAGTAGTCACCCCAACCAAATTTTGTTCTGATATCTATACCTATATATTTAAAATATGATACGAATTCTATTGGATTATTTTGAAAAAAAACTTTTGGTTGACTAGGAGCAACTGCACTATGAATTAACATGGCTTTCATTTTCTTTACATTTACTGGTAGCAAATAATTTTTTGCAAAAGATGAAAGTATTTCCATCGCTATTTTTGCTTGCTCTTCTAGTTCTACTATGTTCTGCGATAGCTTTTTCTCTAGTGAACCTTTGAGAAGTAAAGCAAGGTCGTCCGCGAATAGATGCGAGCAGAAATGAAAGAAGTATTTAGGTAAGAAATGAATGCGAAATCTGAATAAGGTTGCAGCAAGTACTGAACCTTGTGGTGCTCCTATCTTTATATCTATTTTCTTAGAAACGTTGTCACCATGATGTATTGACATAGTCCTATTTTGAAGCCATTGATAGANTCGTACAGTTAATAATCCAAAAATAATCATCATGAACGTTGGTGCTAAAATTTCGAATAAGCACTGCATAAGACTATCCACAACTTGACAGGAAATATTTTGTTTTAATTGATAACATGATTGCGGGGCGCCGAATAAGTTTTGATGAATGTCAATACAATAGAATTGTTCGCCAAATACAAGAATTCCAAATAGTAGAACACAGAGTATGGAGACATATGCACGCTTTTTTGACATCATCTCACGTTTGTGAATGTTTCTCGATGAACGAAGATATCGTTCGACACAAGCTAAACTAATAAACCATGCAGCTGTGTATCCTGCATAATAAGTTATGAAGAATCGTAATTTACAAAGAATACCCGAATATTGTGTTGGATCGACACCAAAACCGTTTAATAGACGAGGTAGAAGACCGACGAAAATAACAAATGAATCAAAAGTAGTTGACATGAGAAAAAATATCGCACAGATATTATTGCGAAAGATATGTCGGACGAAGATTAGTATATTCAAGATGTTCCCGATGATACCAAAGAATAATAAAGGTATAGGAACATAACGATTGATCGCTTGATTTAATAACACAAAATTTATTGAAGACGTGTTTGCCATCTTGTCTTCCAAGAAGAGAAAATCCAGATATAATGAACGTCAGTCTTGATTATGCTTTCTAACAAATTATTCTTTATACGTCGAATATGTTAATTAAAAGAGAAAGCAGGTTTTCCTCAAGTGACACTTCTGCAACATGCAAACAAATTGATAAAAGAAAGATTCCAACAAGTGAAAGCGACGCTCTCTTTGGTTTCGTAAGCTCAGAAGAGCAGATTAACATTTCTTCTCTTTTCATCTGTTGATAATAATCGTTTTTAAAGCTTATATCGATTGTTAGCCATGCGCACTACTATATAAGTATGACGTATCACACTTGTAGAGCCCTGCAGAGTACGGTTAATCTGTCCTGACCTGGCAGGGCAGGGCAGGACAGGGTAAGGTTACGAAAATTTGTACAGGGCAGATTGCAGGGTATAAACCTTGTAACCTGTCAACCTGGAAAAAATACTGAACACTGTATGCTGATGACATCTTTGAAAAAATATTAAAAGAATCTATAAAAATAGTCGATAAATAAGTTCAATTGGTTACAAATATTCAGTCAGAAATAGAAACGGTACTATTTATTCTTTGTACATGTAGCGTTTTGAATGTATTTCATCTTGCACTATTGAGTTTCACCTTATTGTTTCTCATTAAATAGTCTCTCGAATACTATTATCAATATTAACCAAATTCTTCCACTCATAGAAATAATTTATGCCAGATTCCAAGAAAGATATTGAACGAAAAAAGAAAGACGTGATAGAAAAATTGAAAAGTGGTGAATTAATAGCCCACGCTGGACCACCATTATAATATACCAAATGACCAATTTACCTGCCCAGAATGCCACTTTGTTTGAGCATGAAAGAGCGAATAGCTTTACTAATGACCTGAATTATTACAGCGAAGTATCACGCACACAGTGTCATGTGGAAAGAGCATTACGTCGTGACTAAAGTCAACGTCAACAGATAAATCTGAAACTTTGTTGATTTTATCGAAGTTTTCTGAGGTGTATAATTCCAGGCATATAAAGTTTATCAAGACTGCTTACTATTTCGTTAACAAGTATTCTTAGACGATGAATCGTCGTAAATATTAATAATGTACTATTTTACATCTTTTCTAACCTTGATGGATCTGAATGTCGTCTTATTTCTATCTCATCTGTTTTTGTGACAAGAAAAAGTCAGTGAGTAAAACATTGCACTGACAAAGAGAGAAATGTGCCTTTGCATACTTGGTTACAGATAAGAATAATAATACTGCAACGTTTTTTTCTTGAGGGTGCATAAGCACTGTCTCGTTGATATGCTTAATGGCGTTGTCAACAGCATAGAACAATAAGCCCATTGCAGTTACATTAATCGAGCGAAATGGGTGGATGATTTTTACATAGCCACTCTCTTTCTTTTTGTTGTAAGAAACTAAACAACAACAGACGAAAGTAAACTATTCAGCAATTTTCATGCACAAGCACTTCACCAAACGCATCGACATCGTCAAACTGAAAACAAGTATAGAGAAACAAAACGAACTGGCTGCCTGAAAATATTCAATTATTGAGATTTGTACATACATAAGTGTTGTTCTTCAAATCAGTCTAGTGAGTGATCAATTTTTTTTCTGGTGATGGGACGCAGGGACGCGTTTACGCTAAGCGTGATTGGAAATATTCTCTAGATTTCTCCATCTTTTTCATTAGATTGCAAGACTTCAAAGATCTCGCGCAAGATGGTAAAAAAATCGACGCAAATAGCTAACGAACAGCTTGATCCATCATCTATACAAAGTGGTTCCCAGTATCCTCCTCTACACTCTCAAGTTGCCTATCAAGATAATGCCAGGAATATCTCACCGATGTCATCCAAATCCACTTCGAGGTCAGTTATGCATGAATTCATTGTCATCTAATATTTAAGAAGCATTTAGATGTAGTACATCACGATGCTTATGCATTCAGTTGTTGGTTCTGTTGGCTTTATTGGTACTAGCAGCTGTTATCATCCCTATTGTTGTGTTAATATTAGGTAAGTATGAACGAATGAAAGGAATGTAGTCAACTGCTTCATCGAAAGATCTGTCTGACACAAGATATAAGATACTGACTGCTTTCTATATGAAAACTCCTAGAAATATATTTTTTATTGGTTTTAGAGAATCAATCGTCAACATCACGTAAGTCTTCCTAGCTGATTTTTCCCTACTGGGCCCTGATCATTCGTTTTAGCATGCGCTGTAACATATTCTCAGAGTTTCACTGCCTTTACAACTCAAACTGCTCAATGCACAGCATGGCAACAATTCGCTGCAAGTTTGACTTGTACGAGCTATTCGAAAATGCGAATCTATGGTTCGAACGATCCAGTTGGTATCACAGTTACTGATCCAAATACTGTCACTGCTCTAGCAGTTGCCTTACGCTATAATACTACCATCGTTATTAATAACAATGGGATAACATGGCGCGTATGGCCATGCAGCAGTGGTTATGAAATCACTTCATCGGGATCTGCGTGTAGTTGTACAACAGGTTACTATACAATAAGACCATGTCCTTGGATTAATGGATATTGGGGTGGTATCGCCTCGGTGTCATGTAACGCAGCATCACAAACGATGTCACTTTCTTTTGCATAAATACAGCAGAAACCAACTGAATTGATCGTTGGTTCTGAATACACACGTCGTTTGCTTCATTTTTTTTCACTTTTAAAAGATGAGAGTGGTAGCGGAGAAATACAATTGAAAGAGAAGGATGATGAAGCATGACTGTACATCCGACTTCCTGTCTTTTTTCAATGATCTACCGCGTGATTAATAATTGACATACAAGTACTTGGGAACTTCTTGAAGACAAGAAAATTGTTGAAAATTATTTGAACAAACTGTTTGCCAACTTGTAATGATTTGACATGCTTGACATCAAGATGTCCTTGAAAATGAGTCGGTCGTGATTCGATATACTTATCCACGGAACGTTTCATGATGTTGGACAGCCTAATGGTGAAATATTCATTTTCATATAGGGAACTATCTTTAACTTCGTATCAAAACGTTTTCGATGCCAAACGACTATTGAAGCGTTTGCCATACAATGGAATGTAAGCACTAAATATACACTCATTCTCACTAACATCCTCAAGATGATTATGAGGATATGGCTTTTAAAAAGAGGGAATGAATAATGCTAAAGCGCTAGATTACGAGCACTTCGACAATATTGGGCTAGTCATGTTCGTGCGTATTGTGAGAGAACCCGTTGTTAAACATTATATTTAAAGTCATTAAGAATATTCATGACTTTCTACCTTGCTTCATTATTGAACGTGTTTGTCAAAAATCTTGTCATTCACAGATCGTGAACTGATGTTGATTGTGCGACTGTATGCTAAAACAGAAAAAGCGTCAATGAAAGCAGTCGTGATGAGGAAGAACATTTATTGATATAAATTATTTCTCATTCATTAAAGTCTGTATGCACTATCAATCACGAAGATGAAGAGCGATATGAATGCTGAGGAAAGAATTTTTTCTCTGCACATTCTATTCAATATGTTGATCAAGAGTGGCCGTTTTACCGCGAGTGTAGTTTTTGTAGCGATTCTTACGAATGGAGCATCAGGTAATCATTTCTGCTTAAAAACGCTCACAAGTCATTTGAATCGATTGTGATAGACAAACGCCAACGTCTGTCGCTTTCCTGCATGCTTAATTTTCAAAATCGATCGAATCCGTCATTAGATTTCTTGTTTTCATTGAATAGCTTTTCCTCTCTATCTACCCAAATCATGTCCAACAGCAGAATGGAGCTCAACTGCAACTACTTTCGCCAATAAAAGTGAGATTCGCTCGCGTATTGAAGGTATATTTATTGATAACAACAATACCGTCTATGTTATCGAGATCCACGAAAGTCAGATTCTAATATGGCATGAGGATAGAATTCGCCCGATGATAATAAAAACAGTAACAGATCTGTCGTCGATTTCCACTGTCTTCATTTTCAACCTTGATGAAATCTATATTAGTGGTGTTCAGGAGAGAGTTGTAAAGTGGATGCCAAGCACAGATGCTTATGTTTATGTTACGAACACTGGAACAGAATGTGATTATGTTTTCATCGACATTGGCAACTTTTTATACTGTTCAATGCCAATTCAGGGTAGGGTCGCGAAAAGATGGTTAGACGGTGAGATGGAGATGATGACTGTTGCCGGTACAGGCAAAATTGGCTCAGCTCCGGATGAACTCCAGCTCCCTAACGGCATCTTTGTTGATACGAATTCCGATCTATATGTGGCGGATACTTTGAACAAGCGAATCCAACGCTTTTCCCTCGATGATAGAAATGGTGAAACAGTCGCTGGAAAAGGCTCATCGGATATCACAATTGTACTAAACCGGCCTCTTTCAATTATATTGGATTCTGACAAATATCTTTTCATCTCGGACAATGGAAATAATCGTATTGTAGCATCGGGTCCAAATGGCTTTCGATGTTTAATCGGATGTGACGGGCGTGGTCAACAGTCTCATCAATTACTATTGCCAGTTCGAATTACGTTTGATATTTATAAAAATATGTTTGTTATTAATGACCGTGACCAAATTCTAAAATTTGATTGGCAGAAAGATTCTTGTAGTAAGTATCAAGTATTCTAATTAGAAGACTGTTCTCAATAGAATATGTAGGCTTCGGGCTCGCTCTTAGAGTAAAACGATGGATACTCATAGGAAAAATCCATATTTTCCTGTTCTTGAAAAATCTTGGAATTGATCCCTCAAATGCTCATGTACACAGTCTAATAATTGTTTTTTTCTCATATAGAGAATGTTCCACTACTGATCGCTGCTAACTATTCATCGATACTAACACAAAACCATACAAAATTTTCACGCACCATTTTCCATCAATCCGAGTATCACTACGAAACCATCGAAGTTCTTGTCGACGAGAATGGCTTCTACATTCTCACTGCGAACAGTAGTATCGATCTCTATGGTCAACTCTATAAACACTATTTCGATATACTGAATCCTGTACACAACTTAATTGCCTGGCACGGCAAGTGTTGCAACAAAGATCAGTTCAGATTCACACTTGAACTTTTAACCGACACAAAATACATCCTGGTTGTGACAACATACAATCCAAATATGACAGGTCCATTCTCCGTCACTGTGTTCGGTCCAAACACAGTTCATCTTGAACGAACAGGTAAGTGGTACACATTGCTAAAGGAAATATTCGACTGGCAGACGATGCTATTGAGCTATGTGATCAAGCTTATTGAAAATATTTGCAAAAGAGACAGATCTGACGATCGAAGATCTGATTGAAAATAGAAAGATATGTCGAATAGACATAAATCACACAAGCACTTTCACAATACTTGTGTGCTTAATAGGCATGGAACAATTCGTCAAATCGACCTACACATCTGCACTGACACAAGACCATGGAAAATATTTTCCTCCGTCTTGTCACACAACTCTTGGAAGCTATTATGAAGCAATCCAAATCAATGTGAATGAAAGCGGCTTATATACTATTCTGACAAGCATCGAAAACATGGACAGAGGCATGACAGTATATATTTATCGACATGATTTCTATGCCCTCATTCCATATGGGAATTTAGTCCCACAAGACGATATTTGTGGCATGGATAATCGAGCTCATATCGCATTTAAGTTTCTAGCCGGCATGCGATATGTGTTAGTTGTATCAACATGTACATCATTGGAGTTAGGAAGTTTCTCAGTTACATTACTGGGTAGAAACAACGTCGAGCTGCGACATATCAGTGAGTAGTAAAGAAATGCAAATCATACAGAATATCGCATGAGTATTTTATCTCGAATCAAACGGTAATCCTTTTCTGCATAGACGTTTCTTCAGCTGCTCATTCGCGATATTCATCTGAACTAACAACAAACAGTCAACAGTATGATAAAGATTGTAATAATGAATACTATTATTATCAAACGGTGCAGCTCATCGCACCTGCTAGTGCATACTATGCTTTATCAGCTGGTAAAAGTTCTAGCATAGACATACATATCTACCGAAATCATTTCGACCCACTAAATCCATATAAAAATATAATCGAAGTCAACAGACAGTCTTGTTCGTGGAGTACCGAGATTAAACACACCGTTCACCTACAGTCCAGTATCACATATGTATTGCTTATAATAACTTCAAGTCGATCGTTGGCAACATCATTTTCTATCGATATCTATGGCCCAACAAATACTACTCTCGAGCATTTCGGTAAGTGCCCATAATAATTAATAAGCTATTCATACAGAACATCGAATATGAGATTTCATTGAACAGTCTCTCTGATCATTTCATTTAGTTGACAACTCTACTTATTGTTATGTTGGTGGTCCTTGTAATACTCAAGTCAGAAGTATCGGTCTCACTCTCGACGATATCTTACGCTTCGAAGTCAAACGACATCGGTCAATGCATCATCAATCACTTCCCATTAAAATCGCTGGTGCTTTCACAGTCATTATGTTTATTGCAGGTGTCGTCAACAGTGCTTGTTCCATTTTGACTTTTCAAAATGTGAAATCACGAGCAGTTGGATGTGGTCTGTATCTTCTTGCATCGTCAGTCACTTCTCTCCTGACGATCACCATGTCTACGATCAAGTTTTGGTTCGTTGTTGTCACACACATGGACAAGTCTATTCGTCTATCTGTCCTCGAAGGTGGTTGTAAGTCAATTGAGTTTCTTCTGAAGTTGTTCTTCTACTGGGATGCTTGGCTCAATGCATGCGTGGCAGTAGGACGAGGAATGAATGTTTACAAAGGAGTGAGTTTTGATAAGGAAAAGAGTAAACGTTATGCTCGATGGATCATCTTCATCTTACCGATTATGATTGTGGGCACGATTATTCATGAACCACTCTATCGTCATATCTTCAAACGCAAAGTCACCCATTCTCTACAAGAAACCTCGAAAGACAGTTACACTTGGTGCATAACTTCATATCCTCAATCAGTTGAAGACTATAACAGAGCCATCCTATTCATTCATCTTCTTGGTCCATTTTTTGCAAATCTCTTGTCGTCATTGTTCATCATCATTGGAAGTGCTCGACGACGAGCAGAAGCTCAGAGGCAGCAATCCTATCGACAGCACATTCGAGAACAATGGGATGAACACAAACAACTTGTTATCAGTCCTATGATTCTGCTTCTTCTATCAACACCACGCTTGATTATATCTTTGCTATCTGGATGCATGGAGGTGTCCCGTCATACATGGTTGTATGTTTGTGGCTATTTTATTTCATTCACACCATCGATACTTGTCTTCGTTGTATTTGTTTTGCCTTCGAACTCATCTAGAAAAATCTTCAAAGAAACGTTCTTTCGCATCTGTAAACGACAACGATGATCATAAAATTGTTCATTGACAGTGTTTCCTGTTCTTTTCTGAACTTAAATTATAAAAATTTATTGAACTGCAGAGGACTTGACGATACCAATAGGTTTCTGAATCAGTTAAAAGCTCTCAGAATCGTCTCTTTTTGCGAAAATAGTTCGCTGCAAGCGTGTCCAAGTGTTTAATCCAATTTTTAGTCCATTTCTTGAGGGTGATCTACCGGCGTGCAATGTCAGGGGTTCACCTTTTCCTTGTTGATTGATGTTGTACCAAAAGATGCTATTTCCAGGTACTGGACGAAATCGAAGACCTAATTGCGGCGACTTTCTGTCGCAAAGCAAAATATCACAGAATTTGGTATGTAAAGATTTGTCAAAACGAATGTTGATAAACTCTGTTTCACCTTCTGAACAATTTGCATACAGATAGGTGAAAAATGTAGAGATTCTTTGACCACCAGTTGTCAGATCTTCTTCGGGGAACCAATCATAATGAGGTTGAAACTACACAAAGCAGACTAATTTTTTATGTACTAAAACTCTCTGAAATTAGAAAAACTAGACAAACCTCTTGACCAAACGTATATTTGACCACTTGCAATGGCTCAACATATTCTGGATGAAGATTTCCTTGAAATTGAGCGAATCTGTGTTCAATACATTCAACAACAGGTGTTTCACGACGATCAATAAATGCTGTTGACGATGTTCGGTAGGGTTTGTCATGAAGACGCTTTCCGTTATTGTCATTTATTTGCGACTGACTGAACAATGGTGTTGCTAATTCGATCAGATGTTGAATTTCATACGAGCTAAGGAAATTATCAATGTAGATAATCAATGGTGTTCGTGATATGATTCGAGTTCTATATCGATGATTGAAACATTCGTATTCAGTTTTATTTGTATGAACTAATGTGATATTGTCTTTTAACTGTTTGTCTTCAAAATACGATTTTTCAATATGACCTAAGAATTCAATCAAGATGTGCAAACTTCGTTGTTGAATCTTTTCGATGTTGAGTACATAAATACTGATAATTACACCCAGCAAGGCTATACAAGAAGAAAAACTGTAAAACAATCTGCTGATTTATTAAAAAGAGTAGTACCTGTGCAAATAAGACGGAGCATTATCACGTATCTCTACGGAAACTCTTCAATCTGAATTTTAGAAAAAAAGTGTACAATGTGAAAATTTTCAATGTTCTTTTTTTTCGATAAAACACACAGAAATACTTTTAAAAAAAGAGCAAAACGAAACTATCGATCTTTAGTGATTCTCTCGTTCGATTCATTTATTTAAACAAAAAAAAACATTCTCTTATGGAGAAAAAAAGCACTGAGACGAGAACGAAATCATGTGACAGGTTCGAACTTTGGAATGTCAACATCTTTCCTCAATTTCGTCGGTACGTATTTGGAACGTGTCCAGGTATTCAATCCTATTTTCAGTCCGTCGGCTTTTGGTGGTCGACCGGCATGATGCGTATAGTAATCTACTTGACCCTGTTTATCAATATTGTACCAAAAAACACTATTTCCAGAAATGGGACGGAATCGAATGCCAGTTTCGTTGGAAGTTTCATCGCATACCAGAATATCACAAAATTTTCTATGTATCGATCGATTAAAGATGATATTAACAAACTCCGTTTCGCCTTCTGAACAGTTTGAATACAGATATGTAAAAAATGTTGTTATTCTTTGACTCCCATGCTTGACTATCTCTTCTTCAGGGAACCAATCAAAATGAGGTTTATACTAAAACAAAACATACTAAATTAGTTTTTAGCTCGTATAAACACGAGAAAACTATAAGGCAAACCTCCTGATCAGCTGCGTATCTTACAACTTGTAATGTTTCCAGATATCCAGAGTCAACATTTCCTTGAAATCGAGCAAATCGATCTTCGATACATTTGACGATAGGTGTTTCCTGACGGTCAATATATGCTGTCCACGATGTCCGATAGTCACTTCTAACAAGTTTTGCCTTATCGTCATCGTGCGTTAATGATGGAGCGAAATGCGGCGCTGCTAATTCGATCAAATGTCGAATTTCATACGGAACGAGAAATTTTTCAATATAGATAATCAATGGTTCGCGCGAGATCATCCGAATCTTGTACCGATGATCAAAACATTTATATTCACTTGGATTCAGTTGGATCATTCCTGTACTGTTCTCAATAGTTTGTCTTGACTCGATGATTTCCTCCTCGAAATACGTGTTTTGAACGTAAGTCAAAGATTTAACCAAGATCGATAAACTTGTTTGCCGTACCTGTTCGACATTGAAGAAATAGATGCCAATGATTATGCTCAACAACACTAATTATAGAAGAAAAACAAGATAAGATAAGATAAGCGTACGAGAGAATGATACGCACCCGAATAGATCAATCGAGCCATGATGATTGAGTGACTTGAAGATTTGAATGTTTGTTATTGCGCCTATTAGAAATGAAAAAGAGTGAATCACGTGACAATGTTTAACAGGCAAAACAAAGAGACGATGTTTTTTTTTGTTCTCTTGAAGTTTGTCCATGAGATTCTCATAACAAAAAAGTTATTGACAAATATGCTAAATCTTATGCCGTACAATAGTCACGATAACAGACTGCACGCCCAGGTCGAACAATCCCATACTCGGCTCCCATCGAATCCCATCGGATCCAATACAGAATTTTATCGGATCCTACAGGAATTCGACGGATCCGATGAAATCCTGGTGACGGAATCGCATTGGATTCCGACGGTCTCGGATCCGAAACATGGATTTCCTGGATTTTCTAAGGGTCATCATAGAATNGTGCAGTCTATTTGGATCAGCGATATGTTTTTTCTTTTCTGCGCTGCTTCCTCTGTTCGGTAAGAATGCATTCGATGGCGTAACCAAAAATTCAGCAAATCTATTTGATTTTAGCCGTTGCGTTGATTATCGTCGTACTTATTTTCGTAGTTATGATGGTATTTTCCGGCGTTATTGTTGATCTATCCAGCTTATACAGTTGGATCTCGTGGATGAAATGGCTTAGTGCATTTCGATATGCATCGAATATGTTGACAATCAATGAATTCCGTAATATCACATTCTGTTTAGCGAATGCCACGTCGATTTGTCCAACGGTTGGAACTGACATATTGAATAATAAACGAATCGATTACGACACACATTGGGATAGGTGGCAAAATATTTTAGCACTAGCGATCATGTCGGTCGTGTTTTTTCTTTTAGCCTTCATTCAGCTTATTTTGATGAAGAAGACAAAATAAAGTTCAAACTATTTTTTTCTTGAATATTTTGCGCAATAGAGGTCATTAAGGACAATGACAAAGAAAAGAATGTGAACTACTGACCGAAAATTCACTTTTCTCACTTTCGCTCGGTGAAATAATAAACGAATAGAATAGGAGACAATCGACAGTATAAATAGAGCTTCATTTTGTGCATTTAAATATTCATTACAATGAATTCCAAACTTATCTTCTTTCTCGCGATCGTATGTTTACTTGTATTCCAATCGTCGAACGGTATGGAAAGCCATTATGTCGAAAAACGCCGCAGTGGTCGACGATGTGTTCGATGCAGCCTGGGTCTCTTCGATTGTTGTGAACCAAATATATGTGTTAAACATCGTTTGGGACGAGATAAATGCAAGCAAATTAAAGCTCCACATTAAACTATTGTGAGAAATTGTCTATCGGATGTGTCGTGCTTCGTTTCTTATTGTTATGTTCCTCAAGCAAAATAAATTCTTTCATCTTAACAATTATTCTCACTGTTCATGTACACGAGTGTATCGATCATGATCGAAGTATGAATCCAGATAAAAACCTAATGGTGATGAGTTTGATTCGTTAAGCGATTTGAGAAACGTGTTTTGATAGTGAAGTAAATGGTTGTCTAGCTTCTTCAGATTGCTTGAAGTGTTGTTTCTCTCGAAATATGTCACGAAGGAAATTGTATTGAAGCAGCTATGAAATGTTGCAATGTTTCGCGACGATCTTCATTTGTCTGATTCTTGAAGTTTACATGGTTTCTTGACAAAATGGTCTTTTCCTTGTAGGTACTGAAATTCTTCCGTATTGTGTTACAGATATACCATGAATAGTACAACTATAGTACTTCGAATTCTAGATATTGGCGATTTTCGTGGTGTGCAATGTGTCAGTGATGCGTTCGACTCGTAGATAAATGCAAGTATACAAATACCATGCACCGATTCGAGCACTACTCTGAATGTTATTTTTCGATGAGAGTTGTGTTATTAGAACCTTACCGTTCAACATTTGATTCCGCGTTGCTTATATGCTGCATGCTGCTTGTATAGATATTCTAGTACCAGCCCTCTCGGATCAAGTTTTCTCATTATATACAAGACCATTATTGTTTAACATGTTCATTCTATTCAGTACTATTACAATTAGAAGATCTTTATAATTGAACAATAGTAACACTTCTCAGTTCTGTACTAGTTCAGTAATTTAGTCTCAAGGTCATCTCCCGGTTTAATAAAAATGACTATTGCAAATCCCAGTACTGTTGGTATACTATGCGCTGATTATTTACATATTCTACTTTACTCTTTTGTACAAGTATCTACACAGTTACTACGAACTGGATTTCTGTTGCTTTTTAATACGGTTGGTAAGTGTTTTATGTTGATGCAATCGAGAATACAAATGTTCAGTTGAGTTCGATGAAGCTGATCTCGTTCATTGAAAACTCCCCAGTGTTAGTTAATAGCATTTATTCAAGTGAAACTTTCTTTAAACTTCAAAGTTGGACGAAAAAATTGAACTAAAATTCGTTGACATGAATTGGTATTAACTATTAAATCGAATCTTCAGCTATATCGAAATGGTACAATTATGAACTTTTCGGATGCTGCCGATAATACACTTATTCAATGATCCGACTGTAGTTAGGCATCAGAAGCAATTTATCCAAGTTTCTGGGTTACGAGTAGGTTTTCAATTGCATCATGGAACATTGGACATTCATATTATGTGATATTTGAATGATAGTATGCACTGCGCTAGGCTTTCATATGTATGTCTCTCGATCAGATTTTGTGATAAGTGATCAGCAATCAAGAAAAGGAGTACAGGTTAACGAATAACATTCTTTATCATAGATCTTCAATAAGCGTCAATTACCAGTTCAATTTTTTGAACATTCGCTATCAAATCCTTCCGATACGTCAAACATAATTCAGTAGTATCACATGCATCAGTTCCCACAACCAACGTAAACATGTTTCTTTGTTTGAAAATGAATACATATATATTGTTTTCACATGACTTCGATCAGAGATTTATTTACTTACACTGATTATCACTAGAAGAAATAAAATTTTTTCTATCCAATTACTTTATTTACAATTAATTATTCGAGGCATTCGCTATTTGCGGAAACATGACTGTAAACATAAGAAAATCTCCATCTTCCAGACCATATTCACCCAATCGTAAATGGTCGATGCTACCGCCCAAATATCGTTTGTTCATCTGATGTTTATCACTTTCACCATCCTGCAATGGTCGATCATCTTGTAAGTCTGGTTTATTCCGTATTTGTATTATTTTACATCGTCCATCTTTACTTGGAAAAGGGATCGAAGCATGTTCAATTAAATATTGTTTCAGAATGGCAATAGTATGATCTTTATGTGCTTCTACTGTAGCTGGAAAATCAGTGGCACACTGTCTTACTCGAAATGTCAGTCGTTTCCCGGGAGATGAATCCATATTTGGATCGAGTGGAATACAGATAATTGGTTCCGAGCCCATAGACGCTGGAAATCGGATTCGAGTGGGATCAGGTTGATCATCATCAACAATTTCAGTCGTAGTATTTCTGAATATGTTACCCATATGAAAATAAAGACTTCAATGACGACATAACACAATTTAAACGGGAAAACGAATATCAACGTGGCAAATGAATCATATGTTTTTCTTCCGTTCTGTCCGTGAGTGTTGTTTACGAGCAAGATTGAGTACGTGAAAAATGTTGCTATTGATTCTTTTCAATAAACTAGAATATTAAGCAGAAAAATGTACGATATCTCGCATGTTATTAAACGATTGATCATCATATTTCTCCTGTTCATTTCCTCTCACTTCATCATGCTTTATTCCTATATAATTTTGCAAATACGATTACCAATTCGAATCATTGTCCGACGGGTTACGTATTATTCTCGATTTTTTCTTCCTCACACAAATTTGATGTACTTTATACATCGAGAAACTTCATTCAAAGACTTCAGCACAGCACTCAGCCATATTTATTTCACTCAGATCTTTCACACAGAAACTTATCCGTCTATGAATATGTTCAATTATTTTCGCAATAAATCTTGTATGACAATATAGATGACTTTCAATTATTCACTCTCATTGATATCCGTATTTATAAAAAATATTCTTTCATTTTCATGAATTACAAACTTTGATCATACAAAACTTCTCTCGATTTGGAAAATCTAAATTTTAAAATGCATGTCAACAACCTGAGGACGTCTGACGTTTCAGAGATGCAGAACAATGACTGGATTTGACTCACTTAGTTTATATAGCAAGCCGCACCTACTTAATTGAAGAAAGTGGGATTGTTTCATTGCAAGAGCATAGCATATTTTGAGGTTGATACGTAATTTGCAAATTAAAAGACATTGGATAGAGTCATAAGCAAACATGACACTATACAATACTCAATCAAAGTAACAAAAGTGCATTTTGTAAGTGGTTACAGTCAGCGGTGAGACTACTTCCTTCGGATATTTTTTATTGTATAAATAACTGATATTATTGATTGAAAAATTCCAGAGGATGAATAGATGATTCAAGTAAATACATCCGCGATGACGATAGAAATAAGATATTGTCGACAATTTTGTTCGAAAACCTCGAAGAACAACCGTAGTCGCATGTAATCCAATTCGAAATAAACTATGAAAATATTTGTTCTAAAAAGAAGAAGAAATTTGATCAAGTCATCAAAATAACAGCGCGCACCATTGATCTTATAAATATAACATAGAACCGTATAAACTAATATTCGCTCCAAGTAACAAAAGAAATATACGATGATGAAACTTCTCCTAAGTGTTTTTGCCATCTGCAACATCATTCTTCAGATTCGCAGTGTCGAGCTTGAGCAATGTCCACCTGGATATCGTTGTTGGAAAACAATTACGAATCCATTCGTACGTTCATCTCTACGGCAAGTTGAAGCTAATTGGATCATGGAGATTTGTCCGCCTGGCATGGCTAGTCCAAAAGGAGCAACTGAATGTACTCCATGTGAAAAGGGCTACTACGCTCCATATTCAGGAGCAGCAATTTGCTATACCTGCCCCAAAGGACACATGTGCCCTAATAGTCACCTGGAACCGGAACCTTGTCCAATAGGTACTTCTAACAATCTGACACAGCAGACATGTTGCCGTACGTGTCGACCTGGTACATTCACAAAAGCGAGAGGCATGCAACAATGTCAAAAGTGTCCTGTCGGCTATGCATGCCGAACGAAACCAAAATTACCTTGTGAGGAACAACGTAAGTCTGACATTGAGCTATTACAGATCCTCGTAAATTCATCTCGTTTCATTTGGTGTTTTTAGCTACACTAACTACCACAAGCACAACAAGTTCGTAGTTTTTTTTCATATTGAGATATATTCGAACGCAGATCGATTTTAATTTTAATCCTAAATAATCGACGCATTTGCCTTGTTTAGGCACAACAACTATCTTCCAATTCACACCATCCACTGCTACTTGTCATAGTAACGTAGCAACACGTAAGATCTTCCTATTTTTTATAATGAAGATCGTGAATGTTTCGTTATGTTCCGGTTAGCCTGCACCACTACCACGACTCTCATCGCCCAATGCAAAGAATATGAAGTTTCATGGAATAATCATTGCTACTATCTTGACGGGTCAGGTGGAGAATGTATTCAAGGTTATAGACGAGCAACCAATGCCATTCTATCATGTATAGCAAAGCTCTTTGTGGGAAAATTTTATCGAAGCAGAGTATCCGGTAACTGTTGTATTTGGACTGCGGATAAATATCAATGTTATGGGTTCGACTCAACACAATGCAACTTGCCCGGACCATTTACTACAGAGCCAACATTCGGAAGTGCGAACTGTTCGAATGTGCAGAATACCGAAGGTAGTCAACTGACATTCTGTGGAAACTATTGACATAAAATATACTATTCTGAATGGTCTCTTAGAACTACCTTGTAATTTTGCCATTAGTTTTCTCATTTTAATGATATCATCACAAATAAAACAAGAAAGCAATCGAATCATATGTTTGCTCCTTTTTATCTATAGTTTTTTTAACGATATTTGTATAAAATCAAATAGGGAATACTGAGATCACATAGATCAGAAAATGCATGAGATCTTCCATGTCCATATTTGATTAGTTGATGTCGAATCTTTGTATGCGATTGTTTCCTCGATCAGCTACGTATAAATATGCTTCGTTCTTATCCATCGTAACCGTGGTTGGAGCTGTCAGTTGATATGCGCTGGTACCACTCGCGCCGTTGCAAGAACCTTAAAAAAATTCATTCATGCAATCTTCAAGATGTTTGTATGGTATAACAGTGTAGAATACACTCAGCTTCGAAAAAAATAAGTTCTCTTTTCATTCGTTACCTGCGACTGTCACTCCTTCAGAACAACCAAGACACCATCGAACAATGCGATGATTGCTTGTATCTGCTATGTAGAAAGTGTTGTTCTTCTTCGAAAAGTATAGACCGCATGGGCCGTACAATTGGCTAAATAAACAGTGAATAAACACGTTAGGAAATTCATTCCTTCTATACAATTTACTTTGATGCCGTGCCAGCACCGTTTCCACCAGCTACTACTGTGCCATCGGACGAGTTCATGAAAAATCGAAGAATACGATGATTATTTGTATCAGCAATATAATAAACTCCAGCTGATTCATCCAGAACGATATCTTGCGGATTGCGAAAATGTCGAGTGTCATTTCCTGATACGTTTGTTTCACCAGCTAGGATTATGCCTACAGTAGCATTTACAGGCCACAACATAATACGATGGTTTACGTTGTCGGCAACGTAGAAACTACCATTGGAATCTATGACGAAAGATGCTGATTTGCCAGTTTGTGTCAAATTCGTTCCACACGAAGGACTAAAGACAATCGTTTTCGTAAGAGAGCCGTTAAAATATCGAGTCATCTGGCAACGATCACAATCAACAACATACAAATTTAAATGAGAACTATCAAAGTAAGCTCGTCGAGCATATAGTGATCCGCTACTAGGCGCCACCTTTTGTCCTGTGGTTGCATTAGGAGCTACATAAAGTACTCGATTATTGGTATTATCACCAATCAACAGCGAGTCATCACTATTGACTGTGATACCCCATGGTGCCTTCAACGTCGACAACGAACTACCACTTGTTCCATTTTCCAGTCCAAATATAGTTGTGCCCATCAGAGGTGGATTGACTGAAATAAACATAGAGAAATGCAGAGATGTTTGTTTTTCTTCTTTCGCATACCTAATGCACATGGAATGGTTGTTGTCATTTCAGGAGTATTGGTTGTGTACTCTTCTCCATCGTCGTAGAATATTGTTTGGTCACGGTAATAGACCGTACTATTCGGATCAACCACCAGTAGAAGGGTAGTAATTGCAATATTTGCGTAGGAAAACAGTTGGCAAGTATTATTGAAGAAAGAGTTCATGGCAAAAAGATTTGATGAAAACAACATGACACAAACACACTCTTCCCTTGTTCCATTCATGGTCATTGGTTGTGAAGAATTTGTAGAAATAAGAGAAGTGAAGGCTATGTGTCCGATCGGAACAGAGTATGTATGATATAAAGTAAGACTAAGAAGAATCCAGAAGTTCATTGTGAATGATTTTTTTTCTCTATGAAATGTAAAATGATGTAATTAGCTTTTCTTTCTATTATAAAAGAACATGGGACTCTCTGTCACTATGAAAGAAATAAAATGTAACTATTAGAGTTTGTTATGTATTTCTTTGGAAAGCAAAACATTCTTACGATGAAGATGAAAGTGAAGAAGTACATGAAAGTAACATTTTGCGAAGTGAAATCATTTTGAAAAGGAAACAGCGATCCATAGTTAGCTCTAGTGATTCATAGTTTTTACGACAAAGTAGAAGATTGTCAGCATCCAGGTTTTTATTAGAAAAAAATCGCAATCTTCTAAAGATAGCGATGCATTACCAAGAAGTGTTTTAAAAAGTCCTGAAGTATGTTTTTACGAAGCTCATGTGAAATGCATGTCACCAATCAAAGAGTGTAAAAATATTTCTCCTATTCTTTTTTTAACTGAATGAGTTTCATGAAATATTTTTACAATGAAAAAACAAGATCCAAAACTTCCATTTCAAACTCTTCAGAATGAAATCGGAGTGTAATTTATGTGCTCTATATCATACTTTAAACTAAGAGTATATAACCCGATAATGACTCGCTACCTTTCAGAAAGTAAACTAAATACTTAGTGTATGCGAGATAGAAGAGAGCAAAGTGTGTGGGACTTCAAACGCACTCATCTCTCATTTCTTTTGATAACGGCGACGCCCACTGAGTTGTTTTCTGTATCTACAGAAATATTTAGAACGCTTGATGATCATAAATATTACTGTATCTTATGCTAAGTCGTTTCAAAATACATGAGCTCGATCGAATAATGACAACGAGTGTACTAGAACAAATGAACCTCTATGTACCACTTAATTATTTCACTTATAAAATAGCCCATGTTATATACTTAAATGGTTGCTATAAAGATCTCCCTCTGTCAATCGTTACGAAAAATACTGAGTTGACATATTGAGATTCTGAAATGGATTAATTGCTAAAATTAATGCGGAGACATCACTTTTAAAAAGACTGATTTTTCATCATGAGCGTTGCTGTCTATAATCTTGTGTTATTCTTTTTTTCTGAAAGATACCAGTTAAAAGCCGAGAAAATTCTAATTTTAAAGTGAATGACTTCTGATGAATCTCAACATCTTAACTGGATAATACTTTACCATCGTTCATTCGGACATTTTTTTTTCAATTGATTTCTGTAGCGGATGCCGTGTGTTGACTAATATATAAATAATATAGTTGGAAACAAGCCCAATAGTTACATTTATCTTGATGCACTTGTTAATACGACTCAGACATGTTTTAGTTATAAGAGATTATATTCCATATGCATAAAAACTACATTTTCAGTGTACTAAGGACTGAACTTGCTCTTTTTTCTTTAATTGATGCTGAATTTTTGGATTCAATTGTTTGTTCGATCAGCTACATATGAGTATTTCTCGTTCTTGTCCATAGTGAAAGCTATTGAAATGCTAAGAAGAAATGGACTGGTTCCATTGGTGCCATTGCAGGAGTCTAACACAAATAAACAACCTTCTTTTATAGAATTTTTGATCAGTACTCTTATACTTACCTGCGATTGTAACTCTTTCTGAACAACCAAGACACTCTGGCGAACAGCTCGATTCGATGGTTTTTCGAATCAGTGACATGATAAACTCCAGCTCACTCATCTCGAGCGATATCATGTAGATTGTACAAATGCCAACTGTCGCTTTCCGGCATACCAGGTTCATCAGCTAAGACGTTGCTGCTTGAGTACATAAAATGATAGTGGATGCATTTATCTGAGTTGAACTTATTTCACACGAAGCACTGGATGAAACCATTGCTGTTATAGATTTCTTACAGCACTTAGTCATATGACAACGGTCGCTGTCGATGGCATACAAATTAAGGTAAGAACTATCGAACTAAGCTCGTCGAGAATATATAGTTCCATTTTTTCTCATATGATTGCATTGGTCTGATGACATATTCATTTTCGTTTCGCATAGAGAGATGGTAGTTACCTTAGAACTAATCGTAGTCGGCGCATTGGTGTTTTTCGCTCAAGATGGCAAGTATTATTGAAGAATAAGAGCAGCATGAAATATGAGTTGCACTGGATCAGAGTGAACCTGATGTAAAACAACAGCGAGAAAAATCCAAAATTTCATGTCGGATGAGTCGTGTTTCGCTACGAAAATGATTTTGAATGAAATCAAATGCGATGACGACTTTCGGTAGGCGCTTGTAGCGGGAACATGGGTAGTTATAGAGAATAAAGAGGAAAAAGCTTTTTATTTTGTTCTTTTATCAAGATATTTTATAACACGACCAAAATGAAAACCGATCATTGGAACATAGCACTTCACTAACAAAGAAATGTTCAAGATGACCAAATGCGAACAGTGCAAACGTCGTGTTCTTTAGTTATCTCTCTAAAATAAAATCAGTTTTTGATGAACAGCTCGTAGTCCATCGAGCGCATAAATTCGCTATTAAATGTATGTGTCATAGTGGTATTAAGTTGATTGAAAAACGGCGACTCTCGAAAACGTTGAATTTTTTCATAACCATTGTGTATAATGTGCCTCGTCCACCACGACAGGCGAAAATCAATGTGAGCTAGATGACTATTCGACCGAAGCGCATATTTCCACCAATCAGGATGAAGTATTTTCTCGCAATCCCCATTGTCGTTGCAATGGATATCGAAATGAAATGTGCGTAGATTCGGACAACGAGGTAAAAGAAATTCGAGAAATGTACTGGTTGATTCTTTGTGAAAGCGATTCTTTTCTCCCAGACTAAGGTTCGTCAAGGTTGGCAGACCCACTCGAATTGATTCTGGCATTTGACTAGCTAGCGCTGTTACATTTTCTTCAGTTGGATAGTCGTAAAGCATGGCAGAAAAAGAATGAAGTCGACTGCATTGATCTAAGAGTTGAATTGCTACACGAAATGGAAGCTTTGTCACGTGTATATGAAGAAGAGACGGAAAATGAAACGTACAAACACCTTGTATACTTTTTAAATCTTGGTCAAAGACATTTCCATGCAAATACAATCGTTGAAGAAAAGGACAGTTTTGATGGAAAATGATCTCCAAGAATTCGTTAGTACAGTTACCATCTTCAATGACATTCGCATCAATATGTAATGAGATCAGCGTTCGAAATGAAGAGAAATATTTGGCAATATTTAATGATTCGTCATACGGATTATCGTAGAGTAGTTTGAAATGTTGAATTTGTTTGAATTCTGTCAAAGGAAACTCCTACAAATTTATCGTCAAAAATGCTCTGAAATCAACGTTGCAATAATATCAATTACCTGAAAACAAAGATAGACAATATTGGACTGATTGATCAAATAATTCGAATAAATGGATAAAGTGTTAATACATGTCACGAGATGATTAATTCGTTTGGTCAGACCATAAAAAGCTGAAAACAGATTGATCCAGTCAAGATAATCGAAGATTTCGAGTAGAAGTTCATTCGCCAAATCTTCAAAACATGAGCGAGTTGCCTTCGACATTGCTATTCTTTTCTATCTAAAAATATAAAAGACGCCCGACGTATTTAGTTAGTAAAAGAACAGAACGAAAAAAAGAAATTTCCAATATAAGCAAGAAAGTGCTCCCATGCCCATTTAAGTGGGTAAATTCCGTTTGGACTGAATAAACTTGACCAATAAGTTGATTTTGCACAACGGAAGAAATTTTCACTAACTATTTCATTGAAAACATTCTACACAGCAAAATGCATGAAAAGACATGTGCGTCATACAATAAATATGTGCAAATATTGAAACAAGGCAGAATGTCTCCAGAAAGAGAACAGCCATTTTGAATAAAATGAAAGTATTAATCGAAAGACTCCTCGTAACGTTGTGTGAATCCGTAAAGGTTTGCTGGAAGAAACGTGTCGGTTTGCCGTTGTTTATTGATGAAACCAGAAACACAAAAACAGAAAATGAAATGCGAACGAACCACATGAGAAGAAGATGAAAAACATTCTGTGTATGTGTGCACGAGGGAAAACTAAATGCATCATAGAGACGCGTGATAAATGTATGTAGACACTCCACATGTTGAAAAGTTTAAAATCAAGAAAAATACGAGTAATTTCGATACAGACAGAATAACAGTAGAATCATTCTGAATTCGATTAAAAATAGGATTAACTGGTACGGCAACCAACAATACATTCAGGAGTATCAAAGAATTTTGAGCTATAAAATCTGTACTATGAAACTAATGATAAAACGTCATTCTGATATATTATCTAAGGATATGTACGCATCCAAGATAAAACGGAGCGTTTGGTACCATATGTTTTGGAAAATGAACGAACAGGAAGTTAAGATTAATCACTGTTGTTGTTTCATTCGCAAATGCTCACTATTCTCAAAGCATTTTTCATCATTTCATGGATTATTTGCGTCGTCTAAAGCGTCATTTTTATACATTGAATCTTTTTGAAAGTATTAATTCACATAACAATGAATTTCACGCATCAACTGAACGTTTATCAACGCGTATCTATCTCATTATATTGTTCATCTCACTGTCAGCTTGTACAATTTATTTCTCGCTAAATATCGAAACAAAGACTTTCATCGTCGACAGACCAACTCAAGAAACATTCGAAAGACTTCAAGAAAAATATTCTTCGACTCTATTCTGCCCATGCTCAACGAATATAATTCCATATAGAGAATTTTTGTCTGTTTCACCTGTTTATCATGAAGTTTGTTCAAGTGTTTTTATCTCGGACGAGTGGTTAACATCTTTGTTTAACATTAATCGAACACGTTACTATCAATTAGATTTTCGAGCGAGCAGTGTTTCACTATTTCAACTTTTACGTGCATTCTGCGAATGGAACAAACACAATAAGGAATTTCTCTTGGCTCAATTTGAAGCTACACTTTTCCTTTCTCGTTCTGTTAAGCCACCAGAATATATCTTTGATGCAGCTCAATCGATATTTGATGATTTCGAACGATTCGTTGAGAAACCACATGTGCAACTACCGTACATCATTCTCGAAAGTATGACAGCTAATCAGCTCGTACCAGCTGTGCAAACAAGCGGAGTGCTTAAGATCGATGATATTGGACAAATTTATCTTTCAAACGGACTTTGGGCAGGCCAATGCTGGTGTCCGCAATACGTATATTGCCAAGATGATGCGAGACTATACGATGATCTATTCAGTTTTCAATCTGATGGAATTTATGATAATATCTTATCTTCATATGCAGAGATTCCAGGCTTTATTACTGGTTGTAATGTACTAAATTCGCTTTTGAATTCAAAGCTCGAATGTCTGTACAATCAGACATGTATTAGTCTGATGGAGTGGAGAAATAATTCGTATTATGAAGCACTCGTTAGCGATGAAAACGTGTCGATGGTTTCTCCTATTTCTGATTTGGTAGTAACAGTTAGATATTTCACTCGGTATTGGCAAAAAACGACACGATATTCTGATTATTATAGAGGATGTTCACCAAGCAACTGTCAGTATTCAGTCGAGCAACGCGCAGATTCTCTTTATATTCTCACAAATATATTTAGTGTATACGGAGGATTGATCATGGTATATGGAATTGCCATTCCAATGATGGTGGCAAAAGTCCGAATGTGGTGGACCCGACCAGATGCGCAACGTGCAGCCGTAGCCGAACAAGAGGAAGGTACGCAATGTCTTTTCATGAGTATATACAGTATTTATTTTGATAATTTAGTAATAAACATTCGAGCCCGCTTGTTCCGTTTCTGGCGACTGATTCGTTCGACTCTTTTAGAACTGAATGTTTTTGGTGGTATCATTCCTTCTGACGATCCTGACGAAATTCAGAAAGAACGTCTCGCTACTCGCATTTACGTTCTCCTCTTTATTCTTATTTGTCTACCTTTGATACTAGTAAATTTACTCATTCTACAACTTTGCGTAGAGACTGTCGAAAATCCGACTGAGACAGTTTTTGAACGACTTTATTCCCGTTATAATCACTCTCTCCAATGTTCGTGCACAAACGACAAAATCGCTTACGTAGATTTCAGTAGTTCTCCTTTCAAAATGCATGCAGTATGTAATGGTAGTTATTTTATTGATCCACAATGGTTCGCTAACTTTCCACTGACTATCAAATATCAATTCGCAGTTTTAAGCAGTATTTGTGCACGGTCCGAAACAGCAGTTGCTTTGGCAGGTATAAGCTTTTCTTCCTTAAATCTGCTAGCTGATCATGCGATGTCACGTGAACTGCACGACGCACGAATACGTGCAACTCATCATCAATTACAAGTGCAAACGAAAACAGAAATTCTAACACCTTTTCAATTGAATCGAATATTAATACATGCTGATAAATTAATGAGAAGATCTGATATTCAAATATATCAGTCCTCCGGACAAATTGAAGCTGTTTTTAATTCGTACGACAATGGAACATGCAACTGTGCGTTGACGTCGAAATGCATCAGAGAAGTTGTTCTATCGTTCTACATCGGATGTTATCCCATTGATGCAATGCTACAATCAACGTTTGAATGCTTTTATAATATCAATTGTATGTCTCTACTCGAATCATTTAGTTCAGAACCAAATTATAATATTCAAGTTTTGAATTCGAATCAAAGTCGATTTTTACCAAACACAACCATTGAATCAATGTTGAACGAATTAATGTTAGAACAATGGGATATACAAATAAATTACACGAAATACTACATAGAATGCAATCCGAAGAATTGCACTTATTCATATCTACGAGAAGCCGATTTGATCTCTGTAGTTGTTTTATTACTCGGTTTTTTTAGTGGTTTAAATATCGGACTTAAAATTTCTGTACCAGTTTTTGTTAAAACCATTCTATATTATATTATACATCGACGGATTCATTTCGATCTCAAAGCAATGTTTTTATCGTGGAATACCTTTCCTACTTATGCATCTCGTCGAGGTGACATCAGACGATCCAATACAGAAAAACTTGCGACACGAATCTACGCCATAGTCTTTATTCTATGTTTTTCCAGTTTAGTTATATACAAAATGATAAAAGCACCAATCAAAACCGATATTGTTTACAATCCAACACAAGCGACATTTGAACAATTACATAAACTCTATGGAACGATGATGAAGTGTCCATGTAAAGAATTCAGTATCACTTGTAAGTTGTCGGACACTGGGTGCATTATAAACTTTTTATTTCTTTTTTCAATAGATGGATCATTTCTGTCCATTCTACTTGTTTTCCATCAAGTTTGCTCGAGTTATTTAACCTCTTCTTCATGGCTATCATTTCTTTTCGAATCAATGAATTCAACTAATAATCATCTCTTCATCTTATCTCAATTTCAATTTCTTTCATATGTCTGTCATATTAGTCATTCTTTCGCGTTCGATGCCATTCTCGCATTCACTAATGATCCATTTATTTCGCCAGAGATAGTAGCAGAATCAACATTAAATTCAGAAATCTCTTCTTTGATGTCAAGATTTTTGTTTACGACATCAAAGTCTGTTAGTGAATGTATCGAATTTATGCAAGAACTTACGCACGGCTCGGGGATCATATCCATGTTATACACGAATTGGAAATTAACTCTCAGTGATAAAGACAACACGACTCTATTTACCGATCCAGTTTCTTATGGAAACTGTTCGTGCGGGATGTATAGTTCATGTACCGCACTGACAATGATTCCTGGTTTACGCATTGGATGTTATCCTTCAACGGCAATGATGCAATCAACACTTGAATGCTTCTATAACGAAACGTGTATCTCGATGTTTTTCGGAGCAAAGAGATGGCCATCGCTACCTATCGATAATCGATCTCGCTTTTCACCATTTCATACAGTGAAATCTATTATTGATCAACTTATGATTGAAAAATGGATAAATACTACTAATTACACACTATATTACGAAAAATGTGCTCCAACTTCATGCAGCTATTCATACTCTGAACGATTCAGTCTTATCTACATTGTAACTATGTTGACTAGTCTTTATGGAGGCCTTACGATGGTTTTACGTTTCACTGTTTATCATTTTGTCACACACATTCGTACTGTTTGTCGACGTCCAATAAGAGTGGGTGTAAATATATCTTCATAGACAATGGTGGCTTGAAAGTTAAGTCCATCCATACAATTAGGGTAGACACAAGATGGCTGAATAGAGATGAAAATTATGAGAAATGATAGATGCCACGTGCACACAAATTAACTTGACGATCTTCTCTATATCGATAAAACTACAAAACCTTGGTGACCTATCAAAGTTAATACAGTGCAAAGTAGAACGCGCATATCGTTTAATAGTAAATCTTCGCACTGTCAAGTATAAATCGAGAAGAAACGAGATCTTTGGCTCGTCAATAATATAACTTGTTTCTATGAATTTACTAAAAATCGAATCGTCATTTAGTTTTTTTTTTCTACTGAAGTCAAGCTATTTTTGAAGAATTAGAGTGCCGACTCTCGCAATTATAGTTCCGACGAGATGACTGAAGATAGAAGCTAGTTTATTTATCCTCGTGTTCTCTCTCACTCAGTCACAATAAACCAAGGAAAGAAAAGCTGTTTTTCCCATTGAATGCATATCATTTTACTGTAGACTGAACACATTAAAAGGATGTTTCTTTTATGTTGTCAAAATTATGCGAAACATCAAAATGAGAGATTTATCAAAAAATACACAGAAGACTACATCCACTCGCACAAAACCGATCTCTCGCTCACTATTTACTTTATCCTACACACGTCAACCAGTGTGAGGATATCTGAGTTTTCCGGTTGTTGTGTAACACAGTATCACGAATGTCGTTACCGTATCTTGGTCAACAAATAACAATTTACTTTGGTTCCTTTCTGGTCGTAACTGGCGTAGTTGGGAATATCATTAATATAACAGTGTTTGCAAGTATTCGTTCTTATCGTACGACACCTTGTACGTTTTATTTTCTCGTTGGATCATTTTTTGACATTCTGTACATTATGCTTAATCTTGTTTCTCGTATTGCAATATCAGGCGTTCGATTTGACTTAACTCGAACATCCGTTAGTTGGTGTAAAACAAGAAACTTTTCTCTTGCTTTCGTCAGTCTATGCAGTTTAACTTGCTCGTGCTTGGCAACGATCGACCAATATTGTGCGACATCGAAAAATATCTCCATTCGTCGTTTGAGTAACATCAAAAGAGCACCTGCAGTACTGATCATTATGATTATCATTTGGCTTTGTCATGGTATTCCTTTTTTTATTGTATTTCGACATATCATCAACCACGAACACCTGCCGAAGCACCAATTCTGCTTTTACCATCTACTTCCCATCAGTGTATATTCTTACGCTTAACTGTATCATTCCTGTGTTAATAATGAGCATCTTCGGTTATCTCACTTATCGGAATATTCATTTAACGCGATCGCTTGCTGAACAACAAGCGGATCGTCAATTGATGAAAATGATTTTAATTGAAACCGTATTAGTTATAATCAGTTACATACAATATGGAGTCAATGGTGCTTATACAATAATTACTGCTGGAATGGTCAAAGACAACAATCGACTAAGCATTGAAAATTTTGTTGCCACGTTGTCGAATTTGATGTGTTATTTATATTTTTCGGTAAGCTGTTTTAATTTTCAAGCTAAATTAAAATAAGGCTCATTTTTCTTCAGGGAAGTTGTTATATGTTTATGTTGTCATCGAGTCGTTTTCGTGCAGCAGTCAAACGACTATGTTGCTGTCTGCGAGCAACAAATCAGATCAATCCAAATATCTAACGTGTAAATCAAGGAATAGATGTAACAATATCTTTGCGTTTCGTCTTGTGTTTATTTACTCAATGTTTACTCAGCTTGGTTTTGATTATTATAATAAAAGATATGGATAACCTGATTAACATTTCTTTTAAATGGATATGTTGTAAATCGAATAATTCTAGTTTTTACTATTTTGCAACGTTTCCTAAGAGTATTTGGAAAAAAATTGTTTATCATTTCAAAAACCCGTATTTTAATTATGTTTTAATGATATAACTGCGGAGAACTTTGAGTTTATGGCTCTTTTATATGAGAACAAAAGACGCCAACATCGCTAATCATCTGAATATATACTTTGCTCATAATCTGACGTGAACGATATTTGTCATTTAACGCATTTGTTGTTCCTTCGATTTTTTTGATCGAGAGCGTACACTACTGATTGGTAGAATAAACATGAAGATATGTGTATGATGTTTCAATAAATCCTTCTTTTCATTTTGATGGAGGTGAACAGTAAACAAATGACCAAGGACACGCACTACTTTCATTGATTGCCGATTGTAAGGTGATGACGACTTTCTCGATATAAAAGTGTATTTTTTAAAGTGGCAATCAAATCTTCGATTCTTTAACAATGCGCTGAATACGTCAACAGTGTTCGATCATAAGTGCACAGACGAGAGAAAAAAAAGAAACGATCCGTTCCCAATGACGTGCGCATGCGATGCAAATGATTCTTTATTTAAAAAAGAAAGGACGTAAAAGCTTGGTTACTCACACAGTAACGTCAAATATTAAGTAAAAAATCTTTACTCATTCGTCAAATCTGCGTAGTTGCCTGTACGGGATACATAACATCAGATTTCAGTTGCCAAACACACTCAGATCAACGAACGATTGTCATCCTCTATTATTCGATTAGAAATGAACCAAACACCAGGAGTAAATGTCGTAGGAACTCGAGCAACCGGCTCTTATCCCACAGCCTGTGTCTGCTGGAATTGCCACAAACAAGTTGTTACCCGAGTGGAAAAGAAAAATGGTCTTTTAACATGGCTTATTTGTGGAGGCACATGTTTAGTCGGTTGTTTTTTCGGTTGTTGTCTGATCCCATTCTGCGTTGATGCATGCAAGGTCAGATGAGTTGTTTTTAAATGCCTAATCTGTATTTCTTTGGTTTTTCTTAATTCATATAGGACACAGTTCACATTTGCCCAAATTGTTCCACTGTACTTGGTGAAGAAAAGTTGATTTGATCACAAATATTTTTTGATATTAGATTTATTACGATGAGATAATAATAAAAAATGAATGTTTTATGCAACTGTTAGCATATTAGTTTTAGATGCTTATCTATTGAATAGAATTGCAAAGTTTGATATAGTGGGAAGTTTGAGAATGTAAGGTTTATTGGCGTGAAATGCTATCATTGTTTCAATCAGACACAATCGTCTAATGACCATCAGATTGAAGAAAAAGAAACTTGTTTATTGATGCTATACACAGTTTTATTAAGAAGTATTTGAAAAAAATGAGAATATTCGCTAGGTTTTTATTAATTAAAGAAGTATTCATTTTCACATATTGAGAATTTTGTTGGGTAGTGATTGGACATTCCTCCATTTAATGCGTCACATTACAATATTGATTGGACTCAAACGTCATTATTCTATTGTAAGTTTCGAATATATTCTCTACAAACATCGACATTGATATCAATGACATGCATCTGCCTGGCGATCCTTGACCAGTATTTTTCAACATCGTTGTCAATAAGATATCGACAATTAAGTCAAATCACAATAGCTCACCGCGTATGTGGATTAATCGTATGTTTCTGGGCTGTAGTTAATTGCCCATATTTGATTTATTACACACATATTCAATCTTCTTCAGTGGAGAATCAAATAACTTGTTCGACAACTAATAACGCTTTCCTACAATATGTTAATTATGTTTCGGCTATTTCATTAGGAAGAATTATGCCATTGATTATTATGGGTATATTTGGTTTTCTATCTCACAAAAATATCCAAAGATTGTCTCACCGAACACTACCAATCATTCGACGCGAGCTTGATAAACAATTAACTGTGATGATATTTACACAAGCTATTGTTGCTTGTTTGATTATTTCGCCGTATATAGTTTTGTATTTTGTTATGATGACACCAAATTTGGATTCGAATACGTTGACACAGCTAAAATTTGTTTCGTCGCTCTGTTCAGCGATTTACTATTTATATTTTTCGGTAAGAATTTTGAAATTGCTTCAAGAGCTAAAGAAAAAGGTTTTAAAATACAAATTCTAGAGTCCATTTTACATTTATTTCTGTTCATCGAGTCGATTTCGTCGACAGTTGAAATATGTGGTGTTCGATATTTATGTTCGTCAATGCCGACCACAGCAGGTTCATCCAAATCAAGTCGATCCTCAGATTTCATAGTCAAAATGCAGCGCGAATATCAGAAAAGGACGTTTCCATCTATAAATTTATACATAAATGGTTACTGCATTCATTTAAGCACTCGCATTTGTTCTAACCTGAGAAGAGAACTTTTGTTTCGTTTTTCTTTTTATTAACTAAATAAATTTCAAGAATACTTTCTTGTATTTGATTGAAATTTTTATTTATCTTCCACTTTATAAGCTGACAACGATATTCTCTTCAAAGTTCTTCTGATTTCTCATACAAAACCTGATACTTTTGTGTAAGTAAAGAAGTCACAATTTTTCAGTAGATTTTTTTGTTAAACGTAATTCAAAACGGAAAAGAATACTTTTGAATCAAATTCAAAAATACAGTCTAGTTCTGTTGAATATGCCGATCATTTCTCGAACCAGAAGCATGAAGATTTATTTCCGACTTTATTTCGAGGATGCGATGAAAGGTTGAGTAGAACACAACTTCAAATAAAAATGGGTTTTCTTTAAACTAGTTGCAGCGTTTGATGCGACTACTTTAGCTTCATATTTTTGCTTTGCTTGGAGTACAGTAATAGCTTATCCGACCTCAAGAGATACGATTTGGTTTCGATTTTATCATTAGAGCAGAAATACATACTTTAGTTTTGAGTACTTCACGAGATTCAAGTACATGGGGCGGTACAACATTATCGTTTTCTAAAATCGCATTAACGGTTGCATATATTGGATCAAATGTTCGCCTAATGTGTGTTTTGTTTCCTCTGGTGTAGCATCAGCAATGCGGCTGGTCTTAATGGTTTTTGAACGGCGACAACAATTGAACTTTTATATGCAGCTTGATTCTACAAATAAACAAGAAAAGATGGATTTTATGTTTTCAAAATTTTACTCCGCAGTGGTGCATACGTTTGGTGGCATTATCGTATCCATCGTTTGACCTCCAGTTTGAGATCGGATTCTACCAGCTGCAGCAGTTGTTGACCACCATGGTCGAGTTGATCGGGAGGCTGGTATGACAGTTGGTGGAAAGAAGAATCGTGGTTGTGATAGACCCATCGGTTTTGGTAAGTAAGACATCACACCGGGCGGCATGCCGCACATGTGCTGTTACGATACGTTGCGTATGATGATTGGTTAAATACATGCGAGATTCTTCTTCACATTGAGCTGAAGCAACCTAAATTGATATCGAGCCAACGATTGAACCGCTCATTTTCGTAATGGCTTTTGTTGCTTCACCTGGTGCACTGAAACACACGAAACCGAAACCTTTTGATCAACCAGCTTCATTTGTCATGATCTAAAGAAAAACGTTTTCGGACAAGCTGAAGCTCATCTCAGATAGTTACCTTGCATGATAAGATGCTACCAAACACTGAAAATGCATCGTAAAGCGATTTATTATCAATATCATCACTCAAATTCTCAAAAAATATTTACACCACTTGATTTATGTAGATCAAGATCACATTGAGGCTACATGATACGTAGTGGACTACCATGAAATACATCGTGTCAAGAGCTCGTTTGGCTAAAAAACAAATACTACCAGTACTGGCAGCTATTTCACCATCCTCACTTACCACAGGCTGGTTGTTCAAAGTTAACGTAAGCATAGTCAAGCGATCGTATCATAACAAACACGAATGGACAGAATTGGACCAACACTAGCGAATTTATCGAATAACATAGCCTCCGTAACATCCAAACTCACCAACATATAACGAAGTCATAGGATAGAGCGGACACTTGCCTGAACTGGAAGATGCATTTTCATCGGTATCGATTTTCATGTCGTTCGATATCGTTATTGGACCTGTACCATCTACTTCTAGAATCAGTAGAAAGCTGACAATGATTTGGAAAGTTTTGTAACGAAACATAAGTCCGTTGTCAATTTACATCGTGAACAGTGTGCGTGAATGCCAGGTATGATCAAGCACAATATTTTTATTGATTCGTGCCTCCTAAGATAGAATTAACTTACTAGGTAAATCAACTGAAATTTCATAAACAGATTGTAACAATGCATCTTTGTTAATTAAAATATCTTTCGGCTTATCCAGCTCGTCAGTTAATTTGAGCAAATTCCTTTTTAAATATTCAGTAACACTTTTTCGACATTCTTCTGCTTTGTTGTTGAATGACTTTAATCGAATTTTCCCCCAATGATTAATCTTTTCCATTCACGAATGATCTCGAGGAGTTTGTTCCTGTTGACGCAATGTACGATGAAGTTGATTCTAATCATCGATAATCGTGTTTCATTCTTCATTTAAATGCTGTAGACAGAACTCATTTGAGCATCCTTGGCATAGACATCTTACAGTCTTACGCTTTCTACGCATGTAACATAGTGTTGTTGCGTCGTTCGTTGTTGTCGTCATGTACAATAAGAAAACTTGAAAAGAATGAAATGTTCCTACATACGGGAAGGTAATTATATTCCGACAAAAATTGAAAGTAAACAAAACAAAAGCGTGTGTAAGGCGTAGCTAAAGCAAAAACCGAGTCATTCTTTTGCTCCGTTATTTTTTTCGTAGTTTGATATAATCGTTAACATCATAAGCAAATTAACACAAGTTATTCAGATGAACAGAGGGTTTAGCCACAGAAGCCTTTTCTTTTGACCTTCAAGTACTTATAATTGTGTTTATCATCAACCATTGCTTATCTATCTTGAAATGGAACCTTTGAAATGTATTCTGCGTCTATTTCTTTGACAAGCTCAATAATCATTATGTTTTCAACTGGAGAACTTCGTAAACTTACGTGAACAACCTCTGATATAAATATACTTTTTCATATGTTAACATTTGCCCAGGATCGATTGCAATCAACTTTGTTTTCTCTTGGCAAACAATCGAAAACGTATGTCTACTGTTGGCATATTCTGTAACATTTCAGTTTGTACTAATTATACACACGAAGTATACAATGTGACATGCTGCCGAAGCATGATTTCGTAAATATCGAAATACAGATCTGTATCAATTGCATTCGCCGGAATTACAACATTTGAACACAAAGGACGCATATAGCTACTTTAGATGTATTTTATAACAGACAATTACGGCGAATCATGAGATCATGGGAATTTTCATTTATCATTGTTTTTGTAGTTGATCATTTTCAAATAATTCTAAGTATATTCGAACGATTATCGTCTTAATCTTTTGTTTTACTTCGAATGCCTTTTTATTATAGGTCGTACACGCATACAGTTCAGGATGTGTCAATACAGCCAGTCAAGATAATAATACCTAACTCCTCGATACTTTTAATATCATCGTTGTTCTTGTATCGAACGAAAACACAACTCAATGACATTTGCAATCTTTCGACATTCTGAAATGCTTCTTTAATCGTCATTTTCCTCCTTACTTCATATACATGCAAACGTATCATACGAGAAAAAGTCAAAGTCTCAGGCAACAGTTCGATAAACTTTCTTTATTAGACAGCTCACCATTCATTCAACAACTGCAATCATGCTGCAAGCTACGATTGTCGAAATGAAACATGATATTCCACTAAAAATCGAATCGTCAAAAGAAAAGAAAATGCAAGGACTTTCTTTTGTAAAAATGCCAGGATATACCAAAGATCTCTTCATGATCAACATGAATCGACGATTAGCTGTACGAAAACTATTGCATAATCGTCTGTAAGTTAATCAAACCTTCGATTTCTTTATTCGCCACAATCATATTCTTCTCGCTCAAGATCAATCACAACTGATGTCATGTGTGCAATTAGTATTGTTAGTATTATTCTGATGATTATTGCGAACGAGATTGCTTTCAATCAACCAGGAGAATTCGATACCGTTGCAGGCTGGTTTGTCAAGCTTATCATTACCATCTTAACTGCTGTTCTTCTCATTCTTGTTCTTGTCTATCATCGTCTTGATCTTGATCTTTATTCTATCAATAATTCGATTGATAACTGGTGTGTTGGACTGACACATCAACGATTATTCATAGTCGTCGCTGAACTGATGATTTGTGCAATTCATCCAATGCCACGATCGTNTGACATAGTCCTATTTTGAAGCCATTGATAGATCCACTTGACAAGTGGTAATGGCATATTTAATTCTATTAAGTTCGTTATCAACATAGGATACCACATTCTATCGAATGCTGAAAGAAAATCTATAAAAATTACTAGTGCAGGACGGTTACATGCCGCTATCGTTAACTTAATATCCTCACATAATGCTATAATTCTAGTCTGTAATCTACGATTTGGTGATAGTCACACTATAATTCTATAATTCTAACATAATCATCAGCTAAATGTATTTATTATTCTTTCTCGTTATTATCTTGCGCATATTAACACTTGGTAGAAAGCTATTTGTTACAAAGATAATAGTGAATGTGGCTACCATGGCATAATATATATGCCGACACTCTATTTTGATAGCAGATTAAAGTCAACTGTTTATGGTAATCATCATCAATTCACATGATATGCACTTAAATGTACATACGAATAGTGAAAGCCGCTGATAACACCTAGGTGTTAACTAAATAAAATATCCTACTGATCTATACTAAAACTCATTAGAGACAGGACTAACATTAGTTCGCTTCAGTCTCCTACTACTGTTATGAACAACAAAAATCAAGAAACTTACGCGCTTGAGTTGTTGTTGTTGTTGTTGTTGTTGCTGGTACTCCTGGATTTGTTGTTGTTGTTGTTGCTGCTGGTACTCCTGGATTTGTTGTTGTTGTTGTTGCTGCTGGTACTCCTGGATTTGTTGTTGTTGCTGTTGATACTCCTGGATTTGTTGTTGTAGGATTAACTACAAGACAAATAGGGCTATTAATAACAAGCAATGCAGATCAAGATAGATTCGCTGAGTTCTCGACTGAATAGCACTGGTGTCAAACTTGAAACTCGAATTCGATTTCCGAGTTATACATGTATGGAGTTGAGGCGATGCAAGGCGTGTCTGATTGGTCTTGACTTTTTAGGGTCATTGCGAGCCCTGGCAGAAAGTAAGTGAAAAAAAAGAAACGATTTCTTACCTGGTTGAATCTGTCCAGTGCGACAGAACGTTATCTGTATTGTAATCGTTGATCCATCAACCAATGTTAACATCAATGTTGTTTGTGAACGGATGATCGCAGTGACTTTTTCGAATGTTTCATCGAACTTCTTTTTGCAACTGACGACATGACATGGAAATCTAGGTTTGATGATAAATGCAATAGCAAGAAAATCGCCTGTTGTTTTTGGATCTACTTCACATTTCTCGTTTATAGACCTACAAAAGCGAATAATAGAGTATTTTGAAATGAATTCGGCATACCGGATTTGACGTCGTCGTTTGCCAGAGATGTTCGAATTTGTTGGAATAAATGTCGTTGTCATAACACTTATATCAACATCTGGATATTGGCTCATCAACTGCAAAATAAGGTAGCAGATATGTATTTTATGAGAGAACAGCACAAACCTGCGTGGTTAAGCTGTTGAGATTCGGAATCACGGATTTACCATCGCTTTTAAAATTGGTACCATAAGAAGCAGTGTACGGTGATGTAACTGAAAAGAAAGAAGCATTTTATTAGATCAATTAAGGTAAAAAAATAATACATACAAGAACTGCTACTGGCACCAAAAATACCATTGTTTGACAAGTATAATGGAATTAAACTTAGCACTACTATTGCTGCCACAAGACCAATGATACCAAGAAAGCAACACAATAGCACCAACGGCCAATTGCTCCTTAAGAAGTAGAGAAATACGCTTAATTATCGGTACATATAAAGCTTTAGATATCTGTAATGTATGCAGACCTCTCAGATCTGTGGAGGAAGTAGTCATAGCTCCATTGACCAATACAGCCTCTCTTACATAAGGATAGAATGACGGGAAAATCTAGGATTTTTCGAGATGCTCTGGAAGTTGCAACAGTCACTTGGCACCTATCTCATGATAAACGATAAAAAGCGTCAACAGTACATCCCTATCTCGTTCTATCTAGTAAAACAATTCTTACATAGTAGTTAGTAGATGCTTTTACCTGATTTTATTCATTACTGCCTGGTAGACGCCCATCAGTATATTTTTTGATTGACAAAACGAGATGCAGATAATTATTTAAGAACAATCTGGAACAAAAATAAAGGATACAATCTAAATAGAACTTTTCGAATTAATCAACAAGTTAGTTCATCTTCTCCCTATATCGCCATATCTTGAGGGCGAGGATATGGGCGATTCAAGCGAAAGTTTTCCAGCCAGCTTTGTAATACAGAACGGCAATATTTGGTTAGAAACTACATGATAAGGATTCCTTGAGAGATCTCGGCGTATTTCGTCCAGATTATCTATCTGCTAGTTGCAGTTCTCTGTTATAGCTAGCATCTTCACACTTCGCAAGACAGGTTTAGATTTAATAAAAGGTCAAAGTGAAGGAACGCTACGAGGAAGTGTGTCAGTCAATAGACTTGGGTGAAAGTCTTTCAAGTCATTGTTGTAGTTATTGGTGCTAGGGAGGTCATTCTAGATTTACTGGAAGTTTATGAAGTATAGAGACCCATTAAAAGTAGCTCCTATATTAATTAAATATGGGCTCTGATTGAACATTGCTAACTCTTTGACTCCCGGCGACGTATATATATATATACATCCAAACGGGTTTCGTTATTTAAAAAGCCCGAGAATCAAAAGGTTAAATTTAAAGTGAAACTTAAGCATTTGTTCAAAATCTGAAATGGAAGAACAAGCTTTTTTGAAAATTAACATTGCTTTCCTGTATACTGAAATGATTTCGTGCAGCTAGTGCCGGTGACTGAAAATAATTCCTGGAATGCTGCACCTAGACTCAAACAGAGGACATGGGTTACATTGTTCGTCGAAGTTGTTACTAAGTACACACGTACATTTTTGTTAATAAGCATAAAAAGATCTTATATAGATTAAGCCTTCTAACCCAACCAATCTTCTCAAAAGGCTGTGAGTAGATTTTATGCCGATCTAGTATTGAAAATGTTAATTCCTTTACATTTTTCAGAGTGTTAGTATTAGATTATTGTGTTAACTAAATGAAGTGTTTCTTCTTTTAATATAAATCAGGGGAGAAACAGCAATACTCCGGTACTTCAACAAACTCTGACCATACTTCAATCAAATAATTGTTTTCGACAAGATATTGATGAAGTACGGTTGAAATATCGTGGAGTGTTACTGGAGTATTAGCTTAAGGAGTCGACCTCAATTCATTCTTACTCCACTCGCACTCCAACAATGCATCACCATGCTCCAGTGATACTCCGACGATACTCCAACCGTGCTTCACCAGCATCTTGTTGAGAAGAATAATTTGATCGAAGTATTGCTGTTTCCTGTTGAAATAAATGCAAAATGAGAGATAATCGACTAATATTTTCGATGAAGAAACAGTTACAAAATAATTCACTCGGATAAGCACGACGATGCTTTCGTTAGCTTAACCGGTTTTTTTATTTAAAAAGTTCAGTGCACTGCTGACAATCATACTGCCAAAAGTAACGTCTCAACTAACAATTTGTTTTGTCCCTATTGTCTTCGCAACAAATCCGGCACCTACACGCCTCACACTTTCACCCTATCAGACTTTAACGTTTATCTAGTTTTTTTTTCCCTACATTATCAATATATGAACCAAGAATCTTTTTCGATCTCCAGCTTCTATTGAAGACACGCATCATGGGTTTAATCACAGAACAAAATTTACTAACAAATCCATGTAATTTGTATCTAAATTAATCCTCATTATTCAAAACTGGAAGGAAATTTTGAGATAATATGCATGTATATATGTATCCTTATTCCTGAGGCCAAGCTAATTGTTCATCCTCTTACTGATTACTGTAAGACATCATTTACGACATTTATATGCTGGAAAAGGATTTGATGCTAGTCAGTATTGCATAGTACATAAATTAAATATTTTTGGGGCCTGAACTTATATAAAAAATAGAGAGATACCTGCATGAAGATAGCACAATGAAACAAAGCTTTACCTGAAAATGTTTTCACTAAATAAAACACGCTCATTGCAACTAATCTATGCGCTTCAGAATTGAATTTTGTATCGAATGGTGGTACTTGTATTCACGGGACGAACTTTGAAACAATTTCAGTTGGCTTACAGATAGACGTATACGATGAAAATAAAGCTATGGGTGAAAATTTCTCCAAAGTTTGTTTGGCGAATAAAAGTATCACCCTTCGATGGAAAATTCAATGCTAAATCCGATGCACCGCACTTCTTTAGAGAATCCGTTTTCAGCTAAAACTTTGTTTGGTTGTGCAAACCTCATATCGACAAAGGAGCTTAACTAGTATCACGATTGTTTTCTTATCGTCTCTAACCTGTATCAAAGCACGGATGTCCTTACTTGATCAATTAATGATGCGAAATAAAAAATAATACCTACACGACTTGATATGCTCCTCTTGCGCAGCAAAACCATCCTTTTATATGAGACAATATGTTTACACTTCAATGAATACCGATTACTTAATTAGAAACGAAAAACTATGATGCGCAAATATTTGAGGGAAAAAATACCGATAAAATCATTCTCATCTTATATAAAAATACGATTGCGGAAAAAATCAGAAAAAATGCCTTCAAAGCACTGAAAATTAAAGAACATGCAAAATCCTCACCAATCTCTGCAACAAGATCCAAAGCATTTATAAAGAATACCGTCAATCAAAATAACACCCCGCAACTTTGCGACAATTTCAGCCAAATCAATTTAGGCTACTGCAGACACCACACATCAAAAGAATTTCTTTTATCCAACAGTCAAGCGTACAGAGTAGTAATATAACTCATATGTTAATTATTCTCTGAAAGTCTAAAGTACACTCAAAGTTCTATCGACACAGATATTAGAGCAGCCCGGAGTTTTTACAGCCAGCACACACTAGTGTACCAATTTTCCATGCGCTCTATTTAAATGCTGTGCAATATATTTTCCGCTCCGGAGATATTTATTCCATCTGCTCATATCGTCCCCCTATTCCGTTCTATTTCCACTTCTGTTATACCAGATGTACAATACGATCAGCTTTACTTTTCCAAAAAATCGAATATCGAAACCCAAATTCTTTTAGTTACTAACCAAACCAAACATCAGTTTTTCTACTGCTCAGCAAGAATTGTGGATTCTTCATTACAACAGTACCAGATAGAAACATTATCGTGTCTCATTATCCCCTATTACGACATTTTCTTGTCCAAATACGACTAAGGTAAATAAGTTTCCGCCCATTTCTCCACGAAAGGCGCGCACATTTACACAGGTGAAAAACAAGGAGACGAGATACCGATGCAATAAAGGTGAATTATCATTCATCGCATTTTAGATGGACGTCAATTGAGAGATTACTGTACTTCATCATCAATTACTGCGACACATTCTTCTCCAAATACAAGTACGGTAAATAACTTTCCGCCCATTTCTCCACGAAAGGCGCGCATATTTACACAGGTGAAAAACAAGGAGAAGAGATACCGACGGAGAAAAGGGAAATTATCAGTCATCGCATTCTACACAGACATCAATTGAGAGATTACTGTATTTCTTGATCGTTTACTGCGACATATGTTGCTCGCAATACGAGTACGATAAATAACATTCAGGCCACTTCTCCACCAAAGGCGCGTACGTTTACACAGGTGAAAAACAAGGAGAAGAGATACCGACGCAGAAAAGGGAAATTATCAGTCATCGCATTCTACACAGACATCAATTGAGAGATTACTGTATTTCTTGATCGTTTACTGGGACATATTTTGCTCGCAATACGAGTACGATAAATAACATTCAGGCCACTTCTCCACGAAAGGCGCGCATATTTACACAGGTGAAAAACAAGGAGAAGAGATACCGACGCAGAAAAGGGAAATTATCAGTCATCTTATTCTAGACAGACATCAATTGAGAGATTACTGTATTTCTTGATCGTTTACTGGGACATATTTTGCTCGCAATACGAGTACGATAAATAACATTCAAGCCACTTCTCCACGAAAGGCGCGTACGTTTACAGAGGTGAAAACAAGGCGAAGAGATGCCGACGCATTAAAGGTGAATTATCAGTCATCTTATTCTAGACAGACGTCAATTGAGAGATGACTGTATTTCATGATCGATTAGTGCGACATATTCTGTTCTTCCACCTGGTTTTTATAAAAATTTCTATAGTAGTATATACAGATTATGTATCGGCCTCCGTTGTTTTCTTCGTCTGGAAAAAGAAATACAATAAGGGTTCACACGTACTAAAGGCATGCTCTTTAATCTTGATTGTTGTAATCTATTGTCTCGGTTTCCGGCCAACGGACTCTGATTAAGTATGTCACCAAAAATACGATATAATCATTTCTATTTTTCAATGCTATAAAAAGTAAACTAATGAAGTTTCCTTACCTATGATCAATATCTAGTTGTTTTAGCTAAGTTAAAAGCAGGTAACAATGAAATTGTCGGTCTGGAATGGTTGATTTTATGGATACTGCTAAATATGCTTCAATTCATAGTTAGATAAGAATTTTAAGTACGTAAGAATAGCTCTTACTTACTCATTGACGGGAGAAAAGGGTATAAAGAGACTATACATCAACAGTGATTATCTTCTTCTCTATGGTCAAAAAAAGACGATGAAGAGCTATATAGTGTATACACTAGGTGCATCGTCTTTCACACAGGATACTATTTATCTGGTAAGTGTCTCAATGAGTAAGGCCGAAAAGACAATAGATTAGCAATAGAGCATCTAAAAACCATCAAGAGCTAAATGAGACTAGCATATGAGATGAAGGGAATGATTATTTACTATTAGAACAGAGTTGGACTTTTATAGGATTGGTGAACAAAAGGAAACACCAGGTTAAAAATCCATTGAAGACAATCAGTGCCTAAATACAACATGCACTACGTTCAGGTGAACGCACATGGTCTGAATGGAAGACAAAGATCGTATCGAAGGGTGAGTCATATATATAGATATGTGACAATACAATATAATAAATCATTTGTCATATACTATCTTCATTTTGCTGCCTGAGTTGATACTTATTGTTAACATTCATTCTTTAAACAGACGGATATAATATATGATCGATTTACCTGCACAGAATGCCACTTTGTTTGAATATGCAAGAGCGAATACCTTTACTAATGACCTGAATTATTACAGCGAAGTATCACGCACACAGTGTCATGCGGAAAAAGTATTACGTCGTGACTAGAGTCAACGTCAACAGATAAATCTGAAAGTTTGTCGATTTTATGGACGTTTTCTCAGGCGTGTAATTCCAGGCATATAAAGTTTATCAAGACTGCTTACTATTTCGTTAACAAGTATTCGTAGACGATGAATCGTCGTAAATATTAATAATGTATTATTTTACATCTTGTCTAGCCTTGATGGATCTAAATGTCGTCTTATTTCTATCTCATCTGTTTTTGGGACAAGAAAAAAATCAGTGAGTAAAAAATTGCAGTGACAAAGGGAGAAATGTGTCCTTGCATACTTGGTTACAGATAAGAATAATAATACTGCAACATTTTTTTCTTGAGGGTGCACAAACACTGTCTCGTTGATATGCTTAATGACATTGTCAGCAGCATAAAATAATAAGCCTATTGCAGTTGCGTTGCATTAATCGAGCGAAATGGGTGGATAATTTTTACATAGCCACTCTCTTTCTTTTTGTTGTAAGAAGCTAAACAACAACAGACGAAAGTAAACTATTCAGCAATTTTCATGCACAAGCACTTCACCAAACGCATCGACATCGTCAAATTGAAAACAAGTATAGAGAAACAAAACGCACTGGCTGCCTGAATATATTCAATTATTGAGATGTGTACATACATAAGTGTTGTTCTTCAAATCAGTCTAGTGAGTGATCATTTTTTTTCTGGTGACGTGACGCAGGGATGCGTTTACGCAAAGAGCGATTCGAAATATTCTCTAGATTTTTTTCATCTTTTTCATTAGATTGCAAGACTTCAAAGATCTCGTGCAAGATGGTAAAAAAATCGACGCGAATAGCTAACGAACAGCTTGGTCCATCATCTATACAAAGTGGTTCCCAGCATCCTCCTCTACACTCTCAGGTTGTCTATCAAGACAATGTCAAGAATATCTCACCGATGTCATCCAAATCTGCTTCGAGGTCAGTTATGTATGAATTCATTGTCGTCTAATATTTAAGAAGCATTTAGATGTAGTACATCACGATGCTTATGCATTCAGTTGTTGGTTCTGTTGGCTTTATTGGTACTAGCAGCTGTTATCATCCCTATTGTTGTGTTAATATTAGGTAAGTATGAACGAATGAAAGGAATGTAGTCAACTGCTTCATCGAAAGATCTGTCTGACACAAGATATAAGATACTGACTGCTTTCTATATGAAAACTCCTATAAATATATTTTTTATTGGTTTTAGAGAATCAATCGTCAACATCACGTAAGTCTTCCTAGCTGATTTTTCTCCACTGGGCCCTGATTATTCGTTTTAGCCTGCGCTGTAACATATTTTCAGAGTTTTACTGCCTTTACAACTCAAACCGCACAGTGCACAGCATGGCAACAATTCGCTGCGAGTTTGACTTGTACGAGCTATTCGAAAATGCGAATCTATGGTTCGAACGATCCAATTGGCATCACAGTCACTGATCCAAATACTGTCACTGCTCTTGCAGTTGCCTTACGCTACAATACTACCATCGTTATTAATAACAATGGGATAACATGGCGCGTATGGCCATGCAGCAGTGGTTATGAAATCACTTCATCAGGATGTTCTTGCTGTTGTACAACAGGCTATTACACAATAAGACCATGTCCTTGGATTAATGGATATTGGGGTGGCATCGCCTCAGCGTCATGTAATGCAGCATCACAAACGATGTCACTTTCTTTTGCATAAATACAGCAGAAACCAACTGAATTGATCATTGGTTTTGAATAGACATGTCGTTTGCTTCATTTTTTTTTCACTTTTAAAAGGTGAGAGTGATAGCGGAGAAATATAATTGAAAGAGAAGGATGATGAAGCATGACTGTACAGTCAACTTCCTGTCTTTTTTCAATGATCTACCGCGTGATTAATAATTGACATGTGCTTGAAAACACAAGCATCATCATATAGTTTTTATTTACTAGGGAACTTCTTGAAGAAAAGAAAATTGTTGAAAATTATTTGAACAAACTGTTTGACAATTTGTAATGATTTGACATGCTTGAAATCAATATTTCCTTGAAAATGAGTCGGTCGTTATTCGGTACACTTCACCACGAGCCGTTTCATGATGTTTGACATCCTGATGGTTAGATATTCATTTTCATATAGGGTAGGGATGCACCAAATCCAATTCCAATCAAATCCAACTCTAGAATTGGATTTGGATTTGACTGGAATTGGATTTGGTGCATCCCTATATTATAGGGAACTATCTTTAACTTTGTATCAAAACGTTTTCGATGCGAATCGACTATTGAAGCATTTACCATACAATGGAATGTAAGCACTAAATATACACTCATTCTCACTAACATCCTCAAGATGATTATTATGATATCGCTTTTAAAAAGGTCGAATAAATAATGGTAAAGCGTTAGATTGCGAGCACTTCGACAATATTGAACTAGTCATGTTCGTGCGTATTGTGAGAGAACCCGTTGTTAAACATTCTATTTAAAGCCATTAAGAATACTCATGACTTTCTATGTATGCTAAGACAGAAAAAGCGTCAATGGAAGCAGTCGTGATAAGTGAGAACCTTTATTGATATAAATTATTTCTCATTCATTAAAGTCTGTATGCACTATCAATAATCATGACGACGAAGAGCGATATGAATGCTGAGAAAAGAATATTTTCTCTGCACATTCTATTCAATATGTTGATCAAGAGTGGTCGTTTTACCGCGAGTGTAGTTTTTGTAGCGATTCTTACGAATGGAGCATCAGGTAATCACTTCTACTTAAAAACGCTCAGCATGCTTAATTTTCAAAATCGATCGAATCAGTCATTAGATTTCTTGTTTTCATTGAATAGCTTTTCCTCTCCATCTACCCAAATCATGTCCAACAGCAGAATGGAGCCCAACTGCAACTACTTTCGCCAATAAAAGTGAGATTCTCTCGCTTGTTGATGGTATATTTATTGATAACAATAATACCGTCTATGTTGTCGAGATCCACGAAAGTCAGATTCTAGTATGGCATGAGGATCGAATTCGCCGGATGATAATAAAAAAAGTAACAGATCGGTCGTTGATTTCCACTGTCTTCATTTCCAACCTTGATGAAATCTATATTAGTGGTGTTCGGGAGAGAGTTGTAAAGTGGAAGCCAAGCACGGACGCTTATGTTTATGTTACGAACACTGGAACAGAATGTGATGATGTTTTCATCGACATTGACAACTTTTTATACTGTTCAATGGCAATTCGGAGTAAGGGTCGCGAAAAGATGGTTAGGCGGTGAGATGAAGATGAAGACTGTTGCCGGTACAGGCAAAATTGGCTCAGCTCCGGATGAACTCGAGCTCCCTAACGACATCTTTGTTGATACGAATTCCGATCTATATGTGGCGGATACTTTGAACAATCGAATCCAACGCTTTTCCCTTGGTAAGAAAAATGGTGAAACAGTCGCTGGAAAAGACTCATCCGATATCACAATTGTACTAAAGTGGTCTCTTTCAATTATATTGGATTCTGACAAATATCTTTTCATCTTGGGCAATGGAAATCGGTGTATTGTAGCATCGAGTCCAAATGACTTTCGATGTTTAATCGGGTGTGACGGGCGTGGTCAACAGTCTCATCAATTACTATTGCCAATTGGAATTACGTTTGATATTTATAAAAATATGTTTGTTATTGATGACCGTGGCCGAATTCTAAAATTTGATTGGCAGAAAGATTCTTGTAGTAAGTATCAAGTATTTTAATGAGAAGACTATTCCTAATAGAATATGTAGGCTGCGGGCTCGCTCTTAGAGTAAAACGATGGATAATCATAGGAAAAATCCATATTTTCCTGTTCTTCTTGAAAAATCTTGGAATTAATAACTCAAGTGCTCATGTACACAGTCCAATAATTGTTTTTTTTTCTCATATAGAGAATGTTCCACTACTGATCGCTGCTAACTATCTATCGATACTAACACAAAACCATACAACATTTTCACGCACCATTTCCCATCAATCCGAGTATCACTACGAAGCCATCGAAGTTCTTGTCGACGAGAATGGCTTCTACATTCTCACTGCGAACAGTAGTATCGATCTCTATGGTCATCTCTATAAACACTATTTCGATATACTCAATCCTGCACGCAACTTAATTGCCTGGCACGGCAAGTGTTGCAACAAAGATCAGTTCAGATTCACACTTGAACTTTTAACCGACACAAAATACATCCTGGTTGTGACAACATACAATCCAAATATGACAGGTAAGTCGTACACATTGCTAAAGGAAATATTCGACTGGCAGACGATGCTATTGAGCTACGTGATCAAGCTTATTGAAAATATTTGCAAAAGAGACAGATCTGACGATCGAAGATCTACTTGAAAATAGAAAGATATGTCGAATATACATAAATCACACAAGCACTGACACAAGACCATGGAAAATATTTTCCTCCGTCTTGTCACACGACTCTTGGAAGCTATTATGAAGCAATCCAAATCAATGTGAGTGAAAGCGGCGTATATACTATTCTGACAAGCATCGAAAACATGGACAGAGGCATGATTTCTATGCCCTCATTCCATATGAGAATTTAGTCCCGCAAGACGATATTTGTGACATGGATAATCGAGCTCATATCGCATTTAAGTTTCTAGCCGGTATGCGATATGTGTTAGTTGTATCAACGTGTGCATCATTGGAGTTAGGAAGTTTCTCGATTACATTACTGGGTAGAAACAACGTCGAGCTACGAAACATCAGTGAGTAGTAAAGAAACGCATATCATACAGAATATCGCATGAGTATTTTATCTCAAATCAAACGGTAACCATTTTCTGCATAGATGTTTCTTCAGCTGTTCATTCGCATTATTCGTCTGAACTAACAACAAATAGTCAACTGTACGATAAAGATTGTAATAATGAATACTATTATTATCAAACGGTGCAGCTCATCGCATCTGCTACTGCATACTATGCTTTATCAGCTGGTAAAAGTTCTAGCATTGACATACATATTTACCAAAATCATTTCGACCCACTAAATCCATATAAAAATAAGATCGAAGTCAACAGACAGTCTTGCTCGTGGAGTACTGAGGTTAAACACACTGTTCATCTTCAGTCCAGTATCACATATGTATTGCTAGTAATAACTTCAAGTCTGTCGTTGGCAACATCATTTTCTATCGATATCTATGGCCCAACAAATATTACTCTCGAGCATTTCAGTAAGTGCCCATAACAATTAATAAGCTATTCATACAGAACATATTGAATATGAGATTTGATTGAACAGTCACTCGGATCATTTTATTTAGTTGACAACTCTACTTATTGTTATGTTGGTGGTCCTTGTAACACTCAAGTCAAAGGTGTCGGCCTCACTCTCGACGATATCTTACACTTCGAAGTCAAACGACATTGGCCAATGTATCATCAATCACTTCTCTCCTGACGATCACCATGTCTACAGTTAAGTTTTGGTTCGTTGTTGTCACACACATGGACAAGTCTATTCGTCCATCTGTCCTCGAAGGTGGTTGTAAGTCAATTGAGTTTCTTCTGAAGTTGTTCTTCTACTGGAATGCTTGGCTCAATGCATGCGTGGCAGTAGAACGAGGAATGAATGTTTACAAAGGAGTGAGTTTTGATAAGGAAAAGAGTAAACGTTATGCTCGATGGATCACCTTCATCTTACCGATTATGATTGTGGGCGCGATTATTCATGAACCACTCTACCGTCATATCTTCAAACGCAAAGTCACCCATTCTCTAGAAGAAACCTCGAAAGACAGTTACACTTGGTGCATAACTTCATATCCTCAATCAGTTGAAGACTATAACAGAGCCATCCTATTCATTCATCTTCTTGGGCCATTTCTTGCAAATCTCTTGTCGTCATTGTCCATCATCATTGGAAGTGCTCGACGACGAGCAGAAGCTCAGAGGCAGCAATCCTATCGACGGCACATTCGAGAATAATGGAATGAACACAAACAACTTGTTATCAGTCCTATGATTCCGCTTCCTCTATCAACACCACGCCTGATCATATCTTTACTATCGGGATGCATGGAGATGTCTCGTCGTACATGGTTGCATGTTTGTGGCTATTTTATTTCGTTCACACCATCGATACTTGTCTTCGTTATATTTGTTCTGCCTTCGAACTCATATAGAAAAATCTTCAAAGAAACGTTCTTTCGCATCTGTAAACGACAACGACGATCATAAAATTGTTCATTGACAGTTTTTTTTCTGAATCAGTTAAAAGCTTTCAGGATCGTCTCTTTTTGCGAAAATAGTTCGGTGCAAACGTGTCCAAGTGTTTAATCCAATTTTTAGTCCATCTCTTGAGGGTGATCTACCGGCATGCAATGTCAGAGGTTCACCTTTTCCTTGTTGATTGATGTTGTACCAAAAGATGCTATTTCCAGGTACTGGACGAAATCGAAGACCTAATTGCGGCGACTTTCTGTCGCAAAGCAAAATATCACAGAATTTGGTATGTAAAGATTTGTCAAAACGAATGTTGATAAACTCTGTTTCACCTTCTGAACAATTTGCATACAGATAGGTGAAAAATGTAGAGATTCTTTGACCACCAGTTGTCAGATCTTCTTCGGGGAACCAATCATAATGAGGTTGAAACTACACAAAGCAGACTAATTTTTTATGTACTAAAACTCTCTGAAATTAGAAAAACTAGACAAACCTCTTGACCAAACGTATATTTGACCACTTGCAATGGCTCAACATATTCTGGATGAAGATTTCCTTGAAATTGAGCGAATCTGTGTTCAATACACTCAACAACAGGTGTTTCACGACGATCAATAAATGCTGTTGACGATGTTCGGTAGGGTTTGTCATGAAGACGCTTTCCATTATTGTCATTTATTTGCGACTGACTGAACAGTGGTGTGGCTAATTCGATCAGATGTTGAATTTCATACGGGCTAAGGAAATTGTCGATGTAGATAATCAATGGTGTTCGTGATATGATTCGAGTTCTATATAGATGATTAAGACATTCGTATTCAGTTTTATTTGCATGAACTAATGTGATATTGTCTTTTAACTGTTTGTCTTCAAAATACGATTTTTCAATACGACTTAAGAATTCAATCAAGATGTGCAAACTTCGTTGTTGAACCTTTTCGATGTTCAATACATAAATACTGATAATTACACCCAGCAAGGCTATACAAGAAGAAAAACTATAAAACAATCCGCTAATTTATTAAAAAAGAGTAGTACCTCTGCAAATAAGACGGAGCATATTATCGCGTATCTCTACGAAAATTCTTCAATGTGAATTTTAGAAAAAAAACGTGTGCGATGTGAAAATTTTCAATGTTCTTTTTTTCGATAAAACATACAGAAATACTTTTTAAAAAAAAGAGCAAAACGAAACTATCGATCCTTAATGACTCTCTCGTTCGATTCATTTATTTAAACAAAAAAAAACATTCTTTTACGGAGAAAAAAGCACTGAGACGAGAACGAAATCATGTGACAAGTTCGAACTTTGGAATGCCAACATCCTTCCTCAGTTTTGTCGGTACATATTTGGAACGTGTCCAGGTATTCAATCCTATTTTCAGCCCGTCGGCTTTTGGTGGTCGACCGGCATGATGCGTATAGTAATCTACTTGACCCTGTTTATCAATATTGTACCAAAAAACACTATTTCCAGAAATGGGACGAAATCGAATGCCAGTTTCGTTGGAAGTTTCATCGCATACCAGAATATCACAAAATTTTCCATGTATCGATCGATTAAAGATGATATTAACAAACTCCGTTTCGCCTTCTGAACAGTTCGAATACAGATATGTAAAAAATGTTGTTATTCTTTGACTCCCATGCTTGACTATCTCTTCTTCAGGGAACCAATCAAAATGAGGTTTATACTAAAATAAAACGTACTAAATTAGTTTTTAGATCGTATAAATAAGAGAAAACTATAAGGCAAACCTCCTGATCAGCTGTGTATCTTACAACTTGTAATGTTTCCAGATATCCAGAGTCAACATTTCCTTGAAATCGAGCAAATCGATCTTCGATGCATTTGACGACAGGTGTTTCCTGACGATCAATGTATGCTGTCCACGATGTTCGATAATCACTTCTAACAAGTTTTGCCATATCATCATCGTGCGTTAATGATGGGGCGAAATGCGGCGCTGCTAATTCGATCAAGTGTCGAATTTCATACGGAACGAGAAATTTTTCAATATAGATAATCAATGGTTCGCGCGAGATCATCCGAATCTTGTATCGATGATCAAGACATTTATATTCACTTGGATTCAGTTGAATCATTCCTGTACTGTTGTCGATAGTTTGTCTTGACTCGATGATTTCCTCCTCGAAATACGTGTTTTGAAAGTAAGTCAAAGATTTAACCAAGATGGATAAACTTGTTTGCCGAACCTGTTCGACATTGAAGACATAGATACCAATGATTATGCTGAACAACACTAATTATAGAAGAAAAACAAGATAAGATAAGATAAGTGTACGACAGAATGATACGTACCCGAATAGACAAATCGAGCCATGATGATTGAGTGACTTGAAAGTTTGAATGTTTGTTATTGCGCCTATTAGAAATGAAAAAGAGCGGATCACGTGGCAACATTTGACTATGGCAAAACAAAGAAACGATGTTTTTTTTTGTTCTCTTCAAGTTTGTTCATGAGATTCTCGTAAAAACAAAGTTATTGGCAAATATGCTAAATCTTATGCCGTACAATAGTCACGATAACAGACTGCACGGTCTACTTCTGAATAGAAGGAGGTCAAACGCTACATTACATCTGTTATAAAAATGGTCATATGCAATAGTGAGAGATGTCCGACTTTAGACGAATCTTTGATTCGATGCAACGACATATGTTCGGCCGAGATTTTGCCATTATTTCCTACCTGAAAATCACTTATTTGAGAGCCGTAAATTCTCATCTAACTAGTTGATCTGACATTATTGATTAATTAGCGTGTGCTAGGGCATAGTACTCAAACGCAATCTAATAGTATTCGCCCATGCTTGAAAGTCTTCGAAGAACAGGTAATCATCTTTCGAGCATTTCGCATTGAAAATGATGATTTTAATTTTATTTTATTCACAGTATGTCATATGAGTACTATGGCCGACACAAAAAACTACGATGACAATTTATTGGAAACGTTATTATCCAACGGTTTCCTTCAAGTTCGAATTTGTACATTAACTGACGATAGTACTTTTAGCTTCGATGACGCTTAGATAGGAACAGCAAGTTTGCAGACTCTTGATTTGAAAATGAAAACAGCTGATAATGATGAAAAACTTCCATTGAAACATCCCTACATCCTACAAATCACTAACCAAGACTCATCGTTCAGCAATCTAAGTGAATACAAGTTACGCTGTGAAGCGCGTATATAAAATACAATATGAACTGACTATCCGCGATTTTCCAAAGAAGTGCTACAATCTACATTTACATACGGACGCTCTCGCTAGTATCTGTTTTAAAGGAAGTAATGCGTTACGGAAATAAACACAACGTCAAACTAAAAAACAAATAATATCCAATCGTTGCAAGGTGTAATGACTTTGAAATATCAGACGTCATACTTATCTATGTTATCTGATTTCGATCTGACTAAGCGTGAAATATTATATCTCTTCATGTTAAAATTACTCATTTGGTAACGTTGTGCGCTGCTGATTTCCAATTTCATTCGTAAACGTCATTTGATTCCTTTTTGTTCACTTCCTTTTTACGCCAACTAATTACTTTTCTCTACGCTCTACTAAGCTTCGCCTTGGACGAGACATATATACACGTTGAAATGACGATTTGACAGAAAAAGAATGTCTAACTCAACCGTAATTTCACTTCCTCAACCATATATTGACGGCGATCATCCAGTACCTTCTATATCTAAACGCGTTAAATCCGCAGGTACCCTATCATTTCGCAATATAAAGTATACATTGGGTGATACATTCGTCAATGATTTGCGAAGACAATTTTGCATACATTCTCTCCAACCAGATCCTCCGAAAAAGATTCTCGACGACGTTTCCGGTATATTCAAATCCGGAATGAATGCAATTATGGGTAGGTGTGCACGACAGGGAATTCAGATTCAAATCTTTTCATATTTTCCAGGTCCAACTGGATGTGGAAAATCTTCATTGATTGATGTTCTAGCAGATCGCAAGGATCGAAAAGGTCTTTCCGGTGATATATTTCTTGATGGCTTACCGATTTCATCTACATATAAGTACATGACTGGTTATGTTGTCCAAGATGACATTATTTGTGGTACACTTACGATCCAAGAGAATATTATGTTCGCTGCTAATACACGTCTCGGATCACATGTTTCAATGGCAGAACGTAGAACTCGTGTGAACCGAATTATTGATCAACTTGGACTGACACATCGTGCGGATACAAGAATAGGTACTGAATTTTCGCGAGGTGTATCCGGCGGAGAACGAAAGCGAACATGTATCGGAATGGAATTGGTTCTTCAACCGAAAATCTTATTTCTAGATGAACCAACTACAGGTGAACATCATACCGAACAGAATAGTATTGTTCATCTTCTCCGTTATTCACAGGATTGGATGCATCAACAGCACGAAATGTTATGAAATTGTTAAGTCGACTATCTAAACGAGGACGTAAGTTTTCGAACAGCCGACAACTGGAAGATGAATAACACTATGCTTTGTTTGTAAAGATACCATTGTATTTTCAATTCATCAGCCGCGTTATTCGATATTCAAACTATTCGATCGAGTGGTTGTAATGTGCAAAGGCAAAATTGTTTATAACGATTCGCCACACTCAATTTTACCGTACTTCCTTCAACAAGGTTTTAAACGTGATGAAAATGACAACCCTGCTGATTTTGCATTAGATATTCTCATCGAAGCGAATCAGAATGATGCAGTTTTCTACAAGCTCGTTCGACGTTATCAAAAAACACCTGTCTATCAACGAATACCCTTCGAAATCGATGAACAATTACGAATCGCTGCTGCTACTGAGCCTCCTGTTATTATGAAAAAAAACTTTCGAAAATCCTTCGCAAAAGAATTATTCTACATATCAAAACGAACGTTGACCAATACCATTCGGAATCCGTCGCTATTTTTGTCACAAATCGTCGTGGCGGTTTTTGTCGGTTTACTGATTGGTCTTGTCTTCTTCGATATGGATAAAACAGTTGATCCAGGTGTTCAAAATCGATTAGGTGCGATCTTCATGATTGTTTCTAGTCAAATCTTAGCAACCGTTACTGCAATCGAACCTTTGGTCAAAGAACGTGCTCTATTCATTCACGTATGTTCTCTTCTTTATCTTTTTAAGTCAATTTTTGTCTTTGTTTTCCCCTAGGAAATTGTTAGTGGATATTATCGAATTCCAACATTTTTCGTAACAAAACTTGCTTGTGATATGCTTCCGTTACGAATCGCTCCGTCGATTATATTCTCTATTATTGCTTATTTCATGACTGGACTTCAGCGTAGTGTCAATCAATTCTTTATTTTTCTTCTCACGATCTTCATGTGCAGTCTATTTGGATCAGCGATATGTTTTTTCTTTTCTGCGCTACTTCCTCTGTTCGGTAAGAATACATTCAATGACGTAACCAAAAATTCCGCAAATCTATTTGATTTTAGCCGTTGCGTTGATTATCGTCGTACTTATTTTCGTAGTTATGATGGTATTTTCTGGCTTTATTGTTGATCTATCCAGCTTATACAGTTGGATCTCGTGGATGAAATGGCTTAGTGCATTTCGATATGCATCGAATATGTTAACAATCAATGAATTTCGTAATATCACTTTCTGTTTAGCGAATGCCACATCGATTTGTCCAACGGTTGGAACTGACATATTGAATAATAAACGAATCGATTACGACACACATTGGGATAGGTGGCAAAATATTTTAGCACTAGCGATCATGTCAGTCGTGTTTTTTCTTTTAGCTTTCATTCAGCTTATTCTGATGAAGAAAACAAAATAAAGTTCAGACTATTTTTTTTTTCTTGAATATTCTTCGCAATAGAGGTCATTAAGGACAATGACAAAGGAAAGAAATGAACTATTGACCGAAAATTCACTTTTCTCACTTTCGTTCGGTGAAATAATAAACGAATAGAATAGAAGACAATCGATAGTATAAATAGAGCTTCATTTTGTGCATTATGATATCCATTACAATGAATTCCAAAATTATCTTCTTTCTCGCGATCGTATGCTTACTTGTATTCCAATCGTCGAACGGCAGGGAAAGCCATTATGTCGAAAAACGCCACAGCGGTGGACGATGTGTTCGATGCAGCCTGCATCTCTTCGATTGTTGTGAACCAAATATATGTGTTAAACATCATCTTGGACGAGATAAATGCGAGCGAATTAAAGCTCCACATTAAACTATTGTGAGAAATTGTCTAACGGATGTGTCGTGCTTCGTTTCTTGTTATGTTTCTCAAGCAAAATAAATTCTTTCATCTTAACAATCATTCTTACTGTATGTGTACAAGGGTGTATCGATGACGATAGAGATATGAATTCAGATGAAAACCGAATGGTGATGAGTTTGGTGTGAGACTAGTGTTTTGATAGTGTGGTAAATGGTTGTCGAGCTTCTGATTGCTTGAAATGTTATTTCTCTCGAAATACGTCACGAAAGAAATCGTATTGAAACAGCTATGGAATTTTGCAATGTACTAAACAATGTTTCGCGACAATCTCCATCTGTCTGATTTTTTTATGCTCTGAAATTCTAGATGCTGGTGATTTTCTTGTTACGCTATGTGTCAGTGATGCATTCGACTCGTGGATAAATGCAAGGATACAAACACCATGCGCCGATTTGAGCACTACTCTCAATGATATTTTCTTTTGGCGAGTGCTGTGTTATTAGAAGCTTACCTTTAAACATTTGATTCAGCGTTACTTATATGCTGCATGCCGCTTGTATAGGTATTCTAGTACCAGCCGTGTTGGATCAAGTTTTCTGATTATACACAAGAGCGTTATTTTTTAACGTGTTCTCTCTATTCAGTAGTATTACAAATAGAAGGTCTTTATAATTGGACAATTATAGTATCATTTCTGAGCTATGTACTAGTTCAGTAATTTAGTCTCAGTGTCGCCTCGCGGTGTAATAAAAACTACTATTTGAAAATCCCAGTACTGTTGGTATACGATGCACTGATTATTTACGTATTCTACTTTACAAATGTTCAGTTGAGTTCGACGAAGCTGATCTCGTTCATTCAAAAATTCCCAGTGTCAATTAATAGAATTTTTTCGAGTGAAAGTTTCTTTAAACTTCAAAGTTGGAAGAAAAAATTGAACTAAAATTCGTCGACATGAATTGGTTTTAGCTATTAAATCGAATCTTCAATCGAAATGGCACATTTATCAACTTTTCGGATGCTGCTAATAATACACTTGGTCAATGATCCGACTGTAGTTAGGCATCACAAGCAATTTATTCAAGTTTCTGGGTTAAGAGTACGTTTTCAGTTGCATCATGGAACACTGCTCATTCATATTACATGGTATTTGAATGACAGTATGCACTGCGCTAGGCTTTCATACGTATGGCTCTCTATAAGATTTTGTGATAAGTGATTAGCAATCGAGAAAAGGAGTATAGGTGAATGGATAACATTCTTTATCATAGATCTTCAATAATCGTCAATTACTAGTTCAATTTTTTGAACATTCGCCATCAAATCCTTCCAATACGTCAAACATAATTCAGTAGTATCACATGTATCAGCAGTAGCACATGCATCAGTTCCCACAACCAACGTAAACATATTTCTTTGTTTAAAAATAAATACGTGTATGTTGTTTTCACATGGCTTCGATCAGAGGTTTATTTGTTTAAACTGATTATCACTGGAAGAAATAACATTTTTTCTATCCAATCACTTTATTTACAGTAAATTATTCGAGACGTTCGCTATTTGCGGAAACATGATTGTGAACATGAGAAAATCTCCATTTTCCAGACCATATTCACCCAATCGTAAATGATCGATGCTACCACCCAAATATCGTTTGTCCATCTGATGTTTATCACTTCCACTATCCTGCAATGGTTGATCATCTTGTAAATTTGATTTATTCCATATTTGTATTATTTTACATCGTCCATCTTTACTTGGAAAAGGTATCGAAGCATGTTCAATTAAATATTGTTTCAGAATGGCAATAGTATGATCTTTATGTGCTTCTACTGTGGCTGGAAAATCAGTGGCACACTGTCTTACTCGAAATGTCAGTCGTTTCTCGGGAGATGAATCCATGTTTGGATCGAGTGGGATACATATAATTGGTTCCGAGCCCATAGATGCTGGAAATCGAATTCGAGTAGGATCAGGTTGATCATCATCATCATCAACGATTTTAGTCGTAGTATTTCGGAATATGTTACCCATATTAAAATAGAGACTTCAATGACAACATAACACAATTTAAACGGGAAAAAGAATATCAACGTGGCAAGTGAATCATGTGTTTTTCTTCCGTTCTGTCCGTGAGTGTTGTTTACTAACAAGATTGAGTACGTGAAAAATGTTGCCACTGATTCTTTTCAATAAACTAGAATATTCAGCAGAAAAATGTACCATATTTCGTGTGTTATTAAACGATTGATCATCATATTTCTCCTGTTCATTTCCTCTGACTCCATCATGCTTTATTCTTATATAATTTTGCAAATATGGTTACCTATTCGAATAGTTGCCCGACGAGTTATGTATTATTCTCGATTTTTTCTTCTTCACACACACACCTTGGAAAAAACAGATAAAGTACCATTCATTTGATGATCTTTATCACGATTATTTGAATGCATTGCACGAATAGCATCTGGTCATATCTTGCTGAATGTTAATGCAAAAGTATTGGATGAAGTAGGTGAAATTTTTTCATTGCAAGAGCGTAGCATAATTTGAGGTTGTGGATACGTGATTTGCAAATTAAAAGACAATGGATAGAGTCATAAGCAAACACGACATTATGCAATACTCAGTCAAAGTAACGAAAGTGCATTTTGTAAGTGGTTACAGTCAGCAGCGAGACTACTTCCTCTGGATATTTTTTACTGTATAAATAACTAATATTATTGATTGAAAAATTTCAGGGGATGAATAGATGATTCAAGTAAATACATCCGTGATGACGATAGAAATAAGATACTGTCGAAAATTTTGTTCGAATACCTCGAAGAACAATCGTAGTCGCATGTAATCCAATTCGAAATAAACTATGAAAATATTTGTTCTAAAAAAGAAGAAATTTGATCAAATCATCAAAATAATAGCGCGCACCATTGATCTTATAAATATAACATGGAACCGTATAAACTGATATTCGCTCCAAGTAAAATATACGATGACGAAACTTCTGCTAAGCGTTTTTGCCATCTGCAACATCATTCTTCAGATTCGTAGTATCGAGCTTGAGCAATGTCCACCTGGATATCGTTGTCGAAAAACAATCACGAATCCATTCGTACGTTCATCTCTACGGCAAGTTGAAGCTAATTGGATGATGGAGATTTGTCCACCTGGTATGGCTAGTCCAAAAGGAGCAACTGAATGTACTCCATGTGAAAAGGGCTACTACGCTCCATATTCAGGAGCAGCAATTTGCTATACCTGCCCCAAAGGACATATGTGCCCTAATAGTCACCTGGAACCGGAACCTTGTCCAATAGGTACTTCTAATAATCTGACACAGCAGACATGTTGCCGTACATGTCGACCTGGTACATTCACAAAAGCGAGAGGCATGCAACAATGTCAAAACTGTCCTGTCGGTTATGCATGCCGAACGAAACCAAAATTACCTTGTGAGGAACAACGTAAGTCTGACATTGAGCTATTACAGATCCTCGTAAATTCATCTATTTTCATTTGGTGTTTTTAGCTACGCTTACTACCACAAGCACAACAAGTTCGTAGTTTCTTCATATTAGCATATATTCGAACGCAGATCGATTTTGATTTTAACCCTAAATAATCTACGTATTTGCCTTGTTTTATAGGCACAACATCTATCTTCCAATTCACAGCATCGACTGCTACTTGTCATAATAACGTAGCAACACGTAAGACCTTCCTATTTTTTTATAATGAAGATCCGGAATGTTTCGTTATGTTCCGGTTAGCGTGTACCACTACCACGACTCTCATCGCCCAATGCAAAGAATATGAAGTTTCATGGAATAATCATTGCTATTATCTTGACGGATCAGGCGGAGAATGTATTCAAGGTTATAGACGCGCAACCAATGCCATTCTATCATGTATAGCAAACCTCTTTGTGGGAAAATTTTATCGAAGCAGAGTATCCGGTAACTGTTGTATTTGGACTGCGGATAAATACCAATGTTATGGGTTCGACTCGACACAATGCAACTTGCCCGGACCATTTACTACAAAGCCAACATTCGGAGGTGCGAACTGTTCGAATGTGCAGAATGCCGAAGGTGGTCAACTGACATTCTGTGGAAACTACTGACATAAAATATACTATTCTGAATGGTCTCTCAGAACTACCTTGTAATTTTGTCATTAGTTTTCTCATTTTAATGGTATCATCGCAAATAAAACAAGAAAGCAATCGAATCATACGTTTGCTCCTTTTTACCTATAGTTTTTTAACGATATTTGTATAAAATCAAACATGGAATACTGAGAACACATGGATCAGAAAATGCATGAGATCTTTCATGTCCATATTTGATTAGTTGATGTCGAATCTTTGTATGCGATTGTTTCCTCGATCAGCTACATATAGATATGATTCGGTCTTATCCATCGTAACCGTGGTTGGAGCTGCCAGTTGATATGCGCTGGTGCCACTCGCGCCGTTGCAAGAACCTTAAAAAAATTCATTCATGCAATCTTCAAGATGTCTGTATGGGATAACAGTATAGAATGCACTCAGCTTCGAAAAAAATTAATTCTCTTTTCATTCGTTACCTGCGACTGTCACCCCTTCAGAACAACCAAGACACCATCGAACAATGCGATGATTGCTCGTATCTGCTATGTAGAAAGTGTTGTTCTTCTTCGAAAAGTATAGACCGCATGGACTGTACAATTGGCTAAATAAACAGTGAATAAACACGTTAGGAAATTCATTCCTTCTATACAACTTACTTTGATGCCGTGCCAGCACCGTTTCCACCAGCTACTACGGTGCCATCGGACGAGTTCATGAAAAATCGAAGAATACGATGATTATTTGTATCAGCAACATAATAAACTCCAGCTAATTCATCTAGAACGATATCTTGCGGATTGCGAAAATGTTGAGTGTCATTTCCTGATATGTTCGTTTCACCAGCTAGGATTATGCCTACAGTAGCATTTACAGGCCACAGCATAATACGATGGTTTACGTTATCGGCAACGTAGAAACTACCATTGGAATCTATGACGAAAGATGCTGATTTACCAGTTTGCGTCAGATTCGTTCCACACGAAGGACTAAAGACGATCGTTTTTGTAAGAGAGCCGTTAAAATATCGAGTCATTTGACAACGATCACAATCAACAACATATAAATTTAAATAAGAACTATCAAAGTAAGCTCGTCGAGCATATAATGATCCGCTACTAGGCGCCACCTTTTGTCCTGTGGTGGCATTAGGAGCTACATAAAGTACTCGATTATTGGTATTATCACCAATCAACAGCGAGTCATCACTATTGACTGTGATGCCCCACGGTGCCTTCAACGTCGACAACGAACTACCACTTGTTCCATTTTCCAGTCCGAATATGGTTGTGCCCATCAGAGGTGGATTGACTGAAATAAACATAGAGAAATGCAGAGATGTTTGTTTTTCTTCTTTCGCATACCTAATGCACATGGAACGGTTGTTGTCATTTCAGGGGTATTGGTTGTGTACTCTTCTCCATCGTCGTAGAATATTGCTTCGTCACGGTAAAAGACCCTACTATTTGGATCAATCACCAGTGTAAAGGTAGTACTTGCAATATTTGCGTTGGAAAACAGTTGGCAAGTGTTATTGAAGAAAGAGTTTATAGCAAAAAGATTTGATGAAAACAACATGATACAAACACACTCTTCCCCGGTTCCATTCATGGTCGTTGGTTGTGAAGAATTTGTAGAAACAAGAGAAGCGAAGGCTATGTATCCGATCGGAACCGAGCATGTATGATGTAAAGTAAGACTAAGAAGAATCCAGAAGTTCATTGTGAATGATTTTTTTTCTATGAAATGTAAAATGATGTAGCTTTTCTTTCTATTATAAAAGAACATGGGACTTTCTGTCACTATGAGAGAAATAAAATGTAGCTATTAGAGTTTGTTGTGCATTTCTTTGGAAAGGAAAACATTCTTAACATGAAGATGAAAGTAACGTTTTACGAAGTGCAATCACTTTGAAAAGGAAACAGCAATCCATGGTTAGCTCTAGTGATTCATAGTTTTTTCAAGACAAAGTAGAAGATTGTCAGCATCTAGGTTTTTATTAGAAAAAAATCGAAATATTTTAAAGATAGCGACGCATCACCAACGAGTGTTTTAAAAAGTCTTCAAGTATGTTTTTACAGAGCTCATGTGAAATGGATGTGACTAATCAAAGAGTGTAAAACTATTTCTCCTACTCTTTTTTTAACTGAACGACTTTCATAAAATATTTCTACAATGAAAAAACAAGATCCAGAACTTCCATTTCAAACTCTTCAGAATGAAATCGGAGTGTAATTTATGCGCTCTATATCATACTTTAAACTAAGAGTATAGAACTCGATAATGACTCGCAATCTTTCAGAAAATAAACTAAACACTTAGCATATGCGACATAGACAAGAGTAGAGTGTGTGGCGCTCCAAATGCACTCATCTCTCATTTCTTTTAATGACGACAAATCACGTGAGCTCGATCGAATAAAGACAACGGGTGTTTTAGAACAAATGAACATCTCTGTACTATTTAATTATTTCACTTATAATGTAGCCCATGATATACACTTAAATGGTTGGTATAAAGATCTTCCTCTGTAAATCGTTAGGAAAAATACTCAGTTGACATATTGAGATGCTGAAATAGATTAATTGCTTAAATTAATGTGGAGACATCACTTTTCAAAAGACTGATTTTTAAACATGAGCGTTGCTGTCTAGCCTTGTGTTGTGTTTTTTTCTGAAAGATACCAGTTAAAAGCCGAGAAAATTATAATTTGAAAGTGAATGACTTTCGATGAATTTCAACATCTTAACTGGATTGTACTTTATTATCGTTCATACGGACATTTTCTTCAATTGATTTCTGTAGTGGATGCCATGTGTTGAGTAATAAATAATATAGTTGGAAACAAGCCCAAGAGTTCCATTTATCTTGACGCACTTGTTATAAGAGATTATATTTCATATGCATAAAAACTACATTTTGAACCAAATTCTCAGTGTACTAGGGACTGAACTTGTTCTTTTTTTCTTTAATTGATGCTGAATTTTTGGATTCAATTGTTTGTTCGCTCAGCTACAAATGAGTATTTCTCGTTCTTGTTCATAGTAAAAGCTATTACATTGCTAATGAAGAAATGGACTGACTTTAGGGGTGTTATTGCAGGAGTCTAACACAAATATATATCCTTCTTTTATAGAATTTTTTCATCAGTATTCTTATACTTACCTGCGATTGTAACTCTTTCTGAACAATCAAGACACCGGCGAACAGCTTGACTCAATGGTTGAAAATCAAAGACTACGATGGGTTTTTGAATTAGCAACATAATAAACTTCAGCTCACTCATCTAGAGCGATATCATGTAGATTGTACAAATGCTAAGTCTCGCTTTCCAGCACACTAGGTTCATCAGCTAAGATGTTGCTGTTTGAATACATAATAACGGTAGTGGATGCATTTATCTGAGCTGAACTTATTTCACACGAAGCACCAGATAAACCCATATTGTTGTTATAGATTTCCTATAGCACTTAATCATTTGACAACGGTCGTTGTCAATGACGTACTCATTTTCGTTACGCACAGAGAGATAGTAGTTACCTCAGAACTAATCGTAGTCGGCGCATCGGTGTTTTTCGCTCAAGATGGCACGTTTTATTGAAGAATAAGAGCAGCATGAGATATGAGTTGCACTGGATCGGAGTGGACCTGATGTAAAACAACAGTGAGAAAAATCCAAAATTTCATGTCGGGTGGATCGTGTTTCGCCGCGAAAATGATATTGAATGAAATCAAATGCGATGACGACTTTTCCTAGACGAGCGGAAACATGAGTAGCTGTAGAGAACAAATAGAAAAAGCTTTTTACTTTGTTCTTTTATCAAGATATTTTATAACACGATCAAAAATGAAAATCGCTCTTTAGAACATAGGACTTCACTAGCAAAGAAATGTTCAAGATGACCAAATGCGAACAGTGCAAACGTCGTGTTCTTTAGTTATCTCTCTAAAATAAAGTCAGTTTTTGATGAACAGCTCGTAGTCCATCGACCGCATAAATTCGCTATTAAATGTATGTGTCATAGTGGTATTAAGTTGATTGAAAAACGGCGACGCTCGAAAACGTTGAATTTTTTCATAACCATTGTGTATAATGTGCCTCGTCCACCACGACAGGCGAAAATCAATGTGAACTAGATGACTATTCGACCGAAGCGCATATTTCCACCAATCAGGATGAAGTATTTTCTCGCAATCCCCATTGTCGTTGCAATGGATATCGAAATGAAATGTGCGTAGATTTGGACAACGAGGTAAAAGAAATTCGAGAAATGTACTGGTTGATTCTTTGTGAAAGCGATTCTTTTCTCCCAGACTAAGGTTCGTCAAGGTTGGCAGACCCACTCGAATTGATTCGAGCATTTGATTAGCTAGCGCTGTTACATTTTCTTCAGTTGGATAGTCGTAAAGCATGGCAGAAAAAGAATGAAGTCGACTGCATTGGTCTAAGAGTTGAATCGCTATACGAAATGGAAGCTTTGCCACGTGTATATGAAGAAGAGACGGGAAATGAAACGTACAAACACCTTGTGTACTTTCTAAACCTTGGTTAAAGACATTTCCATGCAAATACAATCGTTGAAGAAAGGGACAGTTTTGATGGAAAATGATCTCCAAGAATTTGTTAGTACAGCTACCATCTTCAGTAACATTCGCATCAATATGTAATGAGATCAGCGTTCGAAATGAAGAGAAATATTTGGCGATATTTAATGATTCGTCATACGGATTATCGTAGAGTAGTTTGAAATGTTGAATTTGTTTGAATTTTGTCAAAGGGAACTCCTACAAATTTGTCGTCAAAAATATTATGAAATCAATATTGCAATAATACCAATTACCTGAAAACAAAGATAGATAATATTGGACTGATTAATCAAATAATTCGAATAAATGGATAAAGTGTTAATACATGTCACGAGATGATTAATTCGTTTATTGATACCATAAAATGCTGAAAACAGATTGATCCAGTCAAGATAATCAAAGACTTCAAGCAGTAGTTCATTCGCCAAATCTTCAAAGCATGAGCGAGCTGCCTTCGACATTGCTATTCTTTTCTATCTACAAATACAAAAGACGCCCGACACATTCAGTTAGTAAAAGTACAGAACGAAAAAAAGAAATTTCCAATATAAGCAAGGAAGTGCTCCCATACCCATTTATGTCGGTAATTTCCCTTTGGACTGATCAAGCTTGACCAATAAGCTGATTTCGCACAACGGAAGAAATTTTCACTAACTATTTCATTGAAAACATTCTTCACAGCTAAATGCATGAAAAGGCATGTGCGTCATACAATAAACATGTGTAAATATTGAAACGAGGCAGAATGTCTCCAGAAAGAGAACAGCCATTTTGAGTAAAGTGAAAGTATTAATCGAAAGACTCCTCGTAATGTTGTGTAAATCTGTAAAGGTTTGCTGGAAGAAACGTGTTGGCTTGCCGTCGTTTATTGGTGAAACTAGAAACACAAAAACGGAAAATGAAACGCGAACGAACAAACGAGCCAAATGAGAAGAAGAGGGTGTGTTGTGAAAACAACCACGCGAGACAGGGAGAGAACGAACGTGGGAAAATCTATAAAGAAAAGAAGAAGAGAGGACACTTCGACAGATATATAACACATGTATGTATGTGTGCACGAGAGAAAAAGAGAAAACAAAATGCGTCATAGACACCCATGTAGCCGGTGGTTGCATTATCATGCCATTATTCACATTAAAATGCATTGCTTTGCCATTATAATGTGTTTTTTTGCATTATAATGATAAAGCAATGCATTTTAATGCGAGTAATGGCATGATAATGCATCCACCGGCTTGCTGGGCACGCGTGATAAATGTATGCAGACACTTTACATGTTGAAAAGTTTAAAATAAAGAAAAATAAGAGTAATATCGATACAGATAGAATAACAGTAGAATCATTCTGAATTCGATTAAAAATAGGATTAACTATACGGCAGCTATAAATCTGTGCTATGAAACTCATTCTGGTATATATTATATAAGTATATGTACGCATCCAAGATAAAACGGAACGTTTGGTACGATACGTCTTGAAAAATGAGCGAACAGGAAGTTAAGATGAACCACTGTTGTTGTTTCATTCACAAATGCTCACAATTCTCAATGTACTTTTCGTCATTTCATGGATTATTTGCGCCGTCAAGAGCGTCATTTTTGTACGTTAAATCTTTTTGAAAGTATTACTTCACATACCAATGAATTTCACGCATCAACTGAACGTTTATCAACGCGAATTGATCTCATTATATTGTTCATCTCACTGTCAGCTTGTGCAATTTATTTCTCGTTAAATATCGAGATAAGGACGAAACATTCGAAAGACTTCAAGAAAAATATTCTTCGACTATATTCTGCCCATGCTCAACGAATATAATTCCATATAGAGAATTTTTGTCTATTTCACCTGTTTATCATGAAGTTTGTTCAGGTGTTTTTATCTCGGACGAGTGGCAAACATCTTTGCTTAACATTAATCGAACACGTTACTATCAATTAGATTTTCGAGCGAGCAGTGTTTCACTATTTCAACTTTTACGTGCATTCTGCGAATGGAACAAACGCAATAAGGAATTTCTGTTGACTCAATTTGAAGCTATACTTTTCCTTTCTCGTTCTGTTAAGCCACCAGAATATATCTTTGATGCAGGTCAGTCGATATTTGATGATTTCGAACGACTAGTTGAGAAACCACATGTGCAAATACCGTACATTGTTCTCGAAAGTATGACAGCTAATCAGCACGTACCAGCTGTGTAAACAAGCGGAGTGTTTAAGATCGATGATACTGGGCAAATTTATCTTTCAAACGGACTTTGGGCAGGTCAATGCTCGTGTCCTCAGTACGTATACTGGCAAGATAACGCGAGACTATAGGATGATCTATTCAGTTTTCAATCTGATGGAATTTATGATAATATCTTATCTTCATGTGGAGATATTTCAGGCTTTATTACTGGTTGTAATGTACTAAATTCTCTTTTGAATTCAAAGCTCGAATGTCTGTACAATCAGATATGTATTAGTCTGATGGAGTGGAGAAATAATTCGTATTATGAAGCACTCGTTAACGATGAAAACGTGTCGATGGTTTCTCCTATTTCTGATTTGGTAGTAATAGTCAGATATTTCACTCGGTATTGGTAGAAAAAGACACGATATTCTGATTATTATAGGGGATGTTCACCTAGCAACTGTGAGTATTCAGTCAAGCAACGCGCGGATTCTCTTTATATTCTCACAAATATATTTAGCGTATACGGAGGATTGATCATGGCAAAAGTCCGAATGTGGTGGACCCGACGAGATGCGCAACGTGCAGCTGTAGCCGAACAAGAGGAAGGTACACAATGTCTTTTCATGAGTAGATACAGTATTTATTTTGATAATTTAGTAATAGACATCCGAGCCCGCTTGTTCCGTTTCTGGCGACTGATCCGTTCGACCCTTTTAGAACTGAATGTTTTTGGTGGTATCATTCCTTCTGACGATCCTGACGAAGTTCAGAAACAACGTCTCGCTACTCGCATTTACGTTCTCCTATTTATTCTTATTTGTCTACCTTTGATACTAGTAAATTTATTCATTCTACGATTTTGCGTAGAGACTGTCGAAAATCCGACTGAGGCAGTTTTTGAACGACTTTATTCCCGTTATAATCACTCTCTCCAATGTCCATGCACAAATGACAAAATCGCTTACGCAGATTTCAGTAGTTCTCCTTTCAAAATGCATGCAGTATGTGATGGTAGTTATTTTATTCATCCACAATGGTTCGCTAACTTTCCACTGACTATCAAATATCAATTCGCAGTTTTAAGCAGTTGCTGTGGCAGATATAAACTTTTCTTCCTTAAATTTGCTAGCTGATCATGCAATGTCGTGTGAACTACACGACGCACGAATACGTGTGCAACGCAGCATTAATTGCAAGTGCAAACAAAAGCAGAAATTCTAACACCTTTTCAATTGAATCGAATATTAATACATGCTGATAAATTAATGAGAAGATCTGATATTCAAATATATCATTCCTCCGAACAAATTGAAGCTGTTTTCAATTCGTACGACAATGGAACATGCAACTGTGCATTTACGTTGAAATGTGTCAGAGAAGTTGTTCCATCGTTCTACATCGGATGTTATTCTATTGATACAATGCTACAATCAACATTCGAGTGCTTCTATAATATCGATTGTATGCCTCTACTCGAATCATTTAGTTCAGAACCAAATTATAATATTCAAGTTTTGAATTCGAATCAAAGTCAATTTTTACCAAACACAACCATTGAATCAATGCTGAACGAATTAATGTTAGAAAAATGGGATATACAAATAAATTACACGAAATACTACATAGAATGCAGTCCGAAGAATTGCACTTATTCATATTCACAAGAAGCCGATTTGATCTCTGTAGTTGTTTTATTACTCGGTTTTTTCAGTGGTTTGAATATCGGACTTAAAATTTCTGTGACGGTTTTTGTTAAAACCATTCTATATTATATTATACATCGACGGATTCATTTCGATCTCAAAGCAATGTTTTCATCGTGGAATACCTTTCCTACCTATGCATCTCGTCGAGGTGACATCGAGCGATCCAATACAGAAAAACTTGCTATACGAATCTACGCAGTAGCCTTTATCCTATGTTTTACCAGTTTAGTTGTATATAAAACAATAAAAGCACCAGTCAAAACTCATATTGTTTACAATCCAACACAAGCGACATTTGAACAATTACGCAAACTCTATGGAACGACGATGAAGTGTCTATGTAAAGAATTCAGTATCACTTTTAAGTTGTCGGACATACTGGGTGTATTATAAGGTTTTTATTTTTTTCAATAGATAGGTCATTTCTGTCCATTCTACTTGTTTTTCATCAAGTTTGCTCGAGTTATTTAACCTCTTCTTCATGGCTATCATTTCTTTTCGAATCAATGAATTCGACTAATAATCCATTTATTTCGCCAGAGGTAGCTGCAGAATCAACATTAAATTCGGAAATCTCTTCTTTGATGTCAAGATTTTTGTTTACGACATCAAAGTCTGTTAGTGAATGTATCGAATTTATGCAAGAACTTACGCATGGCTCGGGGATGATATCCATGTTATACACGAATTGGAAATTAACTCCCAGTGATGAAGACAACACGACTCTATTTACCGATCCAGTTTCTTATGGAAATTGTTCCTGTGGGATGCACAGTTCATGTACAGCACTGGCAATGATCCCTGGTTTACGCATTGGATGTTATCCTTCAACGGCAATTATGCAATCAACACTTGAATGCTTCTATAACGAAACGTGTGTCTCGATGTTTTTTCGGAGCAAAGAGATGGCCATCGCTAACTATCGATAATCGATCTCGCTTTTCATCATTTCATACAGTGAAATCTATTATTGATCAACTTATCATTGAAAAATGGGTAAGTACTACTAATTGCACACTTTATTACGAAAAATGTGCTCCGACTTCATGCAGCTATGCATACTCTGAACGATTCAGTCCTATCTACATTGTAACTATGTTGACTAGTCTGTATGGAGGCCTTACGATGGTTTTACGTTTCACTGTTTATCATTTTGTCACACACATTCGTAGTGTTTGTCGACGTCGAATAAGAGTGGGTGTAAATATATCTTCATAAATAATGACGACTTAAAAGTTAAGTCCATCCATACAGTTAGGACAGGCACAAATGGCTGAATATAGATGAAAATTATGAAAAATGATAGATGAGACGTGCACACAAATTAACTTGACGATCTTCTTTATATTGGTAAAACTACAAAACCTTGACGACCTATCAAAGTTAACACAGTGCAAAGTAGAATGCGCATATCGTTTAATAGTAAATCTTCGTGCTGTCAAGTATAAATCAAGAAGAAACGAGATCATTGGCTCGTCAATAATATAACTTGTTTCTATGAATTTACTAAAAATCGAATCGTCATTTAGTTTTTTTTTCTACTGAAGTAAAGCTACTTTTGAAGAATTAGAGTGCCGACCCTCGCAATTATAGTTCTGACGAGATGACTGAAGACAGAAGCTAGTTTATTTATCCTCGTGTTCTCTCTCACTCTGTCACAATAAACCAAGAAAAGAAAAGCTGTTTTTCTCATTGAATGCATTTCATTTTACTGTAGACTGAACACATTAAAAGGATGTTTCTTTTATGTTGTCGAAATTATGCAAAACGTCAAAATGAGAGATTTATCAGAAAATACATAGAAGACTAGGTCCACTCGCGCAAAACCGATCTCTCGTTTACTATCTCCTTTTTCTGTCCTGCACGCGTTAACCATAGTGTAGGGATAACTGAGTTTTCCAATTGTTGCGTAACACAGTATCACGAATGTCGTTATCGTATCTCGGTCAACAAATAACAATTTATTTTGGTTCCTTTCTGGTTGTAATTGGCGTAGTTGGAAATATCATCAATATAACAGTGTTTGCAAGTATTCGTTCTTATCGTACGACACCTTGTACGTTTTATTTTCTCGTTGGATCATTTTTTGACATTCTGTACATTATGCTTAATCTTGTTTCTCGTATTGTAATATCAGGTGTTGGATTCGACTTAACTCGAACATCCGTTAGTTGGTGTAAAATAAGAAACTTTTCTCTTGCTTTCGTCAGTCTATGCAGCTTAACTTGCTCGTGTTTGGCAACGATCGACCAATATTGTGCAACGTCGAAAAATGTCTTCATTCGTCGTTTGAGTAACATCAAAAGAGCACCTGCAGTACTGATCATTATGATTATCATTTGGCTTTGTCATGGTATTCCTTTTTTATTGTATTTCGACATATCATCAACCACGAACACCTGCCGAAGCACCAATTCTGCTTTTACCATCTACTTCC